GGCATTTGATGAAATACCACCAAATTCAACGCAGGCATAATTAAGTTCTGCCGATCAAGCCCAACTTAGAATTTTTTTAAACAGATGAAGTTTGTCATAAATTCACATGCGTAATTAACTCTGCCAACAACATACAAGCTGATGTTCAAAATAAGAAATTAATTTATTATTAATTAATTAAAATTATCAATAAATAACAACTTTTTTTCATTATCAAACCCAACTTTGTATTTGCAACAAAACAGTTCAGGTTTTTCGTAGATATAAATGCTTAATTAACTCTGCTAATATTACTAAAACGGATGATCAAAATCACAAATTAATTCTTTCAATTAATTAATGTTTTTATGTAAGGTTTTGGTTGAAATAAAAGTTAGCCGAAGGTCGTGGGTTAAATCTTACATAAAAAGATAATTAATTGTCAGAAGTAATTCAGACCACTAAATATAATCTATTACAAATTAAGTAATTACTAATTAATCAAAATTGTCACTAAAAAACTTTTTTCATTATCAAAACATTTAAAAAAAAAAAAACAAGTGTTTGACACAAATATACATGCTTAATTAACGCCACTGACATTACAAGAGCTGATGTTCAAAATGATCATTTATTATTAATGAATATAAATTATTACTAGATTAATATTAATAAAACCTTGAGTTTTGTCGCAAATAGAAAGACATAATTTAATTTTTACAAAATTTGATGTTCCAAATGTTATATTAACTGGATATTAATTAATATAAACTATCACTTGGTATTAACTCTTCTCGTATACATTTATTTATACTTCTTATTACTATTATACAATTTGTTAGGTAGTACAAGTCATGGTTTTGACCTGAAATTTCCTTTTAATTCTATGACTAATAACACATTTTGTTAAAAAATTTATTTTATGTTGAAAATAAAGGTTCTTATTATTATTATTCTCGTATACAAACAAAACTGTTCTAATATAAAGAAAACAAGTTAAATTTCTCAGAAATGAAAAACCATAATTAGATCTTGTACTACTTACAAAAACTGATTAATATTAGAACAGCTACTAGAAATTAAATGCTCTGTTATCAAACCATATTCATATAATTTTTTGATAGTGTCCTGATTTTGTGGAACTCCATAATACGTTGATGGGTAGGAAGTGAATTTTTCCACAATGGGAACTATGTAACTATGTAAATTCAGAAATATAATGAAATTTGTACTTAACAGGTGTAATTAATGTTTGTCAAAAGATATTTTATCTTTTGACAAACATTAATTTGTGTATTAAAAATGCTTTAAAATTTCTACGCCCTAGGAAAAAAGAGATTCTTTCTTAACCTAAAATAAATATTTTGTGAATATAAATTACACATTCATTAACCGTTGTAAATATTTTTGTTAGCTTTCTCTCCTCGATAGTACATTTTGTAACACGACAGACTTAGAGGATCAAAGAAACATGATTTTATCATACTTCTCGTTCCCCCTCCCCCGAGTTCTAAATGACTCGCGTATTAATAAACATTAAAACGAGCTTTAAACCTGTCGATTTATTTATTTATTTTTTAATTTATTTTTTTTAATTAGTAGATATTTTTTCTCTTTTTTGCCGAAAAGGCTTTTTTCCATTATATTGTTAAAAGACGGAGAGGGGAAAAAGAAATAAGAAGTTGATGACCAAGAAGATACAGAAAGTCAGGTTCATCTCAGAGCTTGAAGGAGATAATTACTATTTGAATTATAATTGCCACAGCCTAAGGGCCAAGTTGTTAAATTCTAGAACCTCTCGTTCTTCCACCGCTCCAGTTGGGAAGTGGAGTCAATTATAAAACGAGAGGGATGGCGCTGCTATTTCCACTCTCGAGAGAAATAATTGTCATCTCCTTTCAATTATGGACGAATATTGAATATTCGAGTTTAGAAACCCGATCTGAACTTCATTTTAAAATGTGGAGCTAGACATTTCTAATTTTTGTGTTAAGGTCGATTGATTTTCTATTATTCTTCTCTTGTTCTCATGCGTTTGAACGTAACGTGTCGCAATGAAACGCAGCAAACTGACATTAATTAATATGAATCATCTCTAGATAATAACTCATCCTATCGCATCGCATATTTTCGCTTCACGGAAAAACTTAATTGAAATAAATAAAAATTATTAATAACCTCACCTGTTTCAAATCCTAATCGTACCTAACCTAACCGTCTCAAAAACTATTCCTACCTAACTTAACCTACTAACCTAACATGTTCTTTGATTTAAAACCAAATTGATTTGTTAATTTATTTATCAAATTTCATAAATAAAGGCTTATTATTGTTATCTTGCTAAAAACATGTACTTATGTCGGTCAGATTTGTATATATGTTTTTGTAGCCTATATTTCCTTGAAGATACACCGATTCCACCTACCTAACTCGTCGTCAGATTCGAAACCAAATTGATTTGAAAATTCATTTATCAAATTTAATAAATAAAGGCTTATTATTATTGTGTTGTTTAAAACATGTACTTACGTCGGTTAGATTTGTATATATGTTTTTGTGACTTATATTTTCTTGACGATATACCTATTCTGCTGTTAATAATAATAGATAGCTAGAGGATAGATATAATCGATTAAAGTTGTTATATCATAGTATATCGCCCCAGGTTCTAGGTAGCTTTATCTAACCTCTGTAGTGTTTTTCTTGCAATGGTTTCTTTGACTGTAGCCATTCTAGGTGTTAAGCTTTAATATATCAGCATGCATTGTTACTTTGCCATGTACCGCTATTTTTTGCTATGTCTTTTTGGTTATTCTACAGTGCTTCCATTTTAACCTTTAAATACTTTCAGCTTGGGTAACTCAGTGTAATGAAGGAAATATATTTCTACCGGTAAAAAATAAAACGTGTTGTTGGCTGTAACTAACCTCAATGTACCTTTTAAAAGTCCAGGGCTGAAGTATACGGAATCATTGGTATTCAGATCCCTTCTACTAATACAGCCTGAAAGTTTAAAGTTAATATAAAGTTCTCTTCGCGAATTAAGTGTTATGTTGTGTGCTTTAGAAACAAAAAACGGAAAACCCCTCGTACATACTGGCATATACATTTCACACCGCTAATTTGACACAAAAAAATTTTGAAATGATTTCTTCGCTGCGTTGCGTATAATCAAATGTTTTGCCCAGGTTTTGAGTTTTATTCTGTAGCTCTTTCGTCGGTTATATAAGGATAAAAATACCCCGATTGATTTTACTGTTATCAACTTTATGACTCTGTAACCGTGGAAAATCATTATCTTTAACCACCATAAAATTGATTTTGTTACCGCCTTTCAACATTTTTTAGTACCTAGTTTAGAACACAATTTCTAATGATTTGCTGTTTGCAATTGTTCACCGTGAATATTTTACGTATAAAATAATTAATTATTATGATAATATTAACATAAATAATAAATAGTCAAAATGTGTGGATGGAATCAATTCTTAACGCGGTTATTTTACGAGTAGAATTTGCCCACTCAGGTGCCCACTCTCTCCCACTCTCNCTCTCTCTCTCTCTCCCTCTCTCTCTCTCTCACTCACTCACTCACTCACTCTCTCTTTCTCTCTCTCACTCACTCACTCTCTCTCTTTCTCTCTCACTCACTCTCTCTCTTTCTCTCTCACTCACTCTCCCCCTCACTCCCCTCCGCTATTAATTATGATGTAATTTTTATTCATTATTAATCATAAAAAACAAAATATACACAACCCACAAGGTTAAAACTTGAATATTTTTATAGGTTGTTTTGGATATTTACGAAATATGACTTGATGTGTCTCATATGATGGTATTGTGTGATTCGTTGGCTCTTTATAAATTCCAATTTATAGCATGCATTTCTGATGCAATTAGGTCTATAGTGAAGTAATTATATGAATAAATTTATTAATGAGCAATATAATGATTGATAGACACGAAACAGTTTTTGACCAATGTTTAAATAATTTGATTAAATTAAGTTAGAGTTAAAGATATAACAAAATCATGTCACACCACTTATTATCTACCGGGGGATTCTGATTTAATCCCATTTGCGGCTAGCTCTCTAGTTCCACGGTACGTAAAATTTAATCCTAAGCAACACCAGAGCGTTTGTTGCGGTTCCACCCTAATTGATAAAATAAACGGCCGTTGAAACATACAAACTTTTTCACTTTTCACCAACTCGACGGTAGCGGATTTAGTTATTCAACGGTCGCTAAATTCAAAAAAGAGGATAATTACCAAATCTAAATATGTGCTTATATGCCGTATGTGATTACTGTTTTTTTTTCTATCTGTCTGTCCTGAGAAAATATAGTTTGGTTGTTCATAAGTATGAAGGATACAATGTGTATTTTCTTCGTTTCAAATCTGATCAGTAAGCCTAAAATAATAATTAACATAATTAGTGATATTCATTTGCAATTATTAGAATTGGCCTTTTCGGAAAAGATCATTTTTATGTAAAATTGTTTCCAAGGTGAAGTGTATCGGTCGAACTGGGGATGATGGATGAGTTCTTTCAGCCGTTGTCGAAGTTGTAAAGCCCCGAAGTAACTTTGCCGAAGCGGGTCTAAAGACAGTTTTCCACCCCTGCTTTTGATCTATAAAAGGAACTTCGGGCAAAGAATCCCGCGTTAAAGATGCTTTGTTAAGAATTTTGATTTGTTGCCGGAACGTCTTGAGAGTTGGGAGAAGGGTAGTCGTATAGATTATTGGCAGTATAACATGGCAAGTTTGCGATTGGAAGCAGACGGTTGAAAATTGTTTTTATTGCCCCGTTTCAAAATCTTCTCGAATAGAGTTTTCCAAGGGGGGGGGAACTTTGAGAATTTACAGACCTTTTCCCACCCCGAGCCATCTGCTCCCAAGACAATAATTATTGTTTTCTAAAGTAAGGAAATACTTTGATATATAGCATTTCGATATCTCTATTTTTATTTATTACTTTAATCGACTTGTATTGTAAAAACAACTTTTTTTTGTTTCAGAACTTGTGAGGATGGGGTCGCTGGATAAGCATCCATCTTCACTGAATCCTTCCAAGGTATGTTAAAATAATAACCTTTGGGACCAATGAACATTTTTTCTTTCAAAAGTACACAAATATTAAACAATGTTTTGGTTAACTTTCCTGTTGGCAAAACTAAACAACAAATTAAATTGTATTTTCTGCATCATGAAGATAATCTAAGGGTCTTGGATATAAGCGGACGTGCCAGAGATGCCAAGTTTAAGGTTTCCCTGGAAGACAAAAATGCTCAGCAATGACGGCCAACTTGAAACTTTAATTAAAAATAAAGCAGGGAATATTTGAGATAAGAATTTGATGGTTGGTTTTGTTTCCCATTTAAAGAATTAGGTTTGACTTACCTTTTTTATATTAGCATATTCAAAACAAACCGTTTGACAGGTTCTAGTTTAAATTAAACATACACATAAAGACATTTAAGACATAAAGATAAAAAGGACGTTGTCATACTTTCTTATTAATTTAATCAAAAAATTTGTGACGGAAAATTATTTTAGTCTATGATAGTACAGTTTGGATGCGATCATTGTGAACAAATTAACTTACTTTAAACATTTACAACGGAGAATCTTCACGTAAAAAATATCACGGTCCTTTGCCCATTCCTTGCTGACGCTGCAAAATTTGTTACACCTGTGCTCCTGAGAAATGCTTCCTCACCCTTACTTCCACCGGAAATCAGATAAGACAAAAATATTAAATTAAAAAGACTGTGTTGAATACAAACGAAAACTGATGATGATCTCTAATGTAAGCGTTTTCTGTTTTAGGCTTCAGACTCGGCCTCTTGAAGTGATGCGTGGTGAGTTGGAAACGTTTTAAAAACAAAAAGTCCCAATTTTAAAGAAGAGAATGTGCTCTTTTATGAACGTTTGTGCTCCTCCGAGGCAGCAAATGTAAAAAAATTATGACCGGAGTCTTTTATTTGGAAGATAACCTGGAGCAATTCAGAAGAAGCAGACAGCGTAAGCCTGGATTTGATTTAAATTTTCTTTCTTACTAATAATAATAGACACGACAGGTCCTTCTGGCCTAGATTTTTTCCTAACTTATCACAATGGAGACATGAACGAGCATAAAAGATATCTGTTGCATGATTTTCAATTTAACTGCTCATCATGAGCAATTTCCTTTCTGACTTGTCATCCTTGCATGTTTATTTTATTTTTGGTATTTTTGTTTATTTTTACTTCAACTATTCTAAACTTCTAGTGAGATCTGATGGATAATGAATCTGTAATTTGTACGTTTTCGAGCATGACCTTCTTTCAGTCGTGTTTCACCATTTCTCCATTTTCAGTTGTGGATTCTAAAAATTAAATTTACTACCGCAAAACCACTATATGCAAAATTACTTTATTATTTCTACAGTCAGAGAGAAAAAAACCGGACACACGTATTTTGTTTCAACCAATATGTATTTTTATTGCTACGTTAAATACAGCATACTTAATTTAATATAAACCAAATCCTAATAACCTTACCGTGAAAAAAGGCCAAGTTCCGAACCTCTCCAAAAAAAATTAGCTTATCAATGATGATATTTACACTGTGGCCAAGTCTTTTTAGTGCATAACCAGAGTGAACTCAAGAGAAAAAATACAATTTTCAGACTCTCTCCCAAAAACGCCTTCGCATCAAAGTAGTGATTTCTATATGCCAGTTTATGCATATACTTAAAACAATAAGATCATGTGTGCTCAGACAGAAGAGGTGGGTGAAGGGAAGGTAGAGAACTCAAAGGAAAAAAAGTCCCTACTCCTCACTACTCATTCAGAAACTGGCGAAGTGTTAAGCAATAAAAATAAGAGAACATTGTTGCTCATAAAAGTAGGAGTGAAGTGAGGTCGGACACAATATAGATAGATACTTATACGAGAAGTGCCATATAATTGTGATGATGAGACTACTCGCCCCCCGTCCCCTAAACCGGCACTAATTTTGCGAAAATGGCATTTTTTTTGCAAAAACTTTACTTATTCTATACAGGAGACAAACAGATGTTTGTATACATCAAGATGAAAAGAGATAAAAACATGTTTAAACTAAAAATGAAATAATAAAATTACTATTTTCTTAAATCAACAACAATAGAATAATAAGTAATAAATAAGTTGGCTCTAATAGTTACCCTAGAGAAATTCCTATTTTAGGGCTACCTGCCTCAATTTTATTAAAGAATGAACGTAAAACTTGGGGGATCAATAGAGCTTAGCTAAATTAAATAGGGAGTTGTGCCTAATTTTATTATTCGGTATGAAACTTCGGTTGCTTGAAGAGCCATTGTTTAATTTGTTTTGAAATTTTCTTAAAATTAAAGCCCTTTTTTAAGCCTTCTAGAAGTTTATAAGCCCAGATAGATCCTTCGTACAAGAAACGTTTTAACACTAGAAAGGTTTTAATTTTTTGATTACCTTTTTTACAATATAAAACCTTCCTTGTACCAAACATTATATTTCTACCCATACAGGAAGTGCCTTATAATTTTTATGGTGAGGCTACAACCTTAAGTGCTCAAATTTTTACAATGTCCTAAGCGACCTAAGCTTAATTTACGTTTTAAATTTCAAAAGCCCTAATAATTTAAATCTTTCAGATCTTTAGACTATGAGGGTTAGAAAAATATCATCCCGTTCTTCAACAAGAGCGGTTTGAAGCTGATCAACGCTTGTTGGAGGCTAGGAACGATGCCTATACCATCTCTTGTCATGTCTCATGAGGGTTCTATGGGATACATATCAGAAGAGTGCTGGCCAATTCATTGTGGTAATCCCAACGTCCTCCAAGTAATGGGTGACAACTCGAGCTGCATGGGGTCAATTTTCATGCATTAACACGAAGTTGTCCCCAATGTTACGAATGCGATTACAGCTTCAAGAATAACTTCTTCATTGTACCTTAGTGCAGTCAGAGATCCATTCTGAATGATAAATAAGTTCGATACGGATATGGACATTGATGTCACCCCACACCATAACTGATTGTATTTCAAATAACATGAAGCAAAAAGTGCTCTCCAGTCTCTCCTCACACGGTCATCTGATTGCCGCAAACCGACCGGCACTCATCTGTGAAGAGGACATCTCTCCATTGTTCAAGTGTCCAAGCGAGATGCTGATTTGCGAATGTGCAATCCTTTCTACTCGATGCCTCTGCACTAGTAGAGAATCTGATACGGGACATCTAGAGACCAGACATTCTCATAAAGCCTTCTGATGAATGTTTTAGAGCCCATCCTGACCTTACTACCAATCAAAAAATGACGCTTCCGTAGTGATCTATCTTTCGCCTTTAGCCGTCGTACATCGCGGACTACCTCGAGACCTCTGGCGACCCTGAACCGCTTTAGACCATCGTGGATGGTAGAGCGCAGAACACCCAGGACTTACATAACGGAGCGTCCATTGTTGGCCCATCTGCCCAAGCGAAATCTTTTTATAACATAAAAACACGATTTTTTAAAAAAATTACTCATATTTATTGTTTCATCAAAGAAAATAATTTAAAAAACTAATTTGACTCATTCGACAAGTTGGCTCTGGAAAAGATAAAATTGTACTTATTTTCTTTATTTTTAATCTAAAGAGTGTAAAAGGATTAGACACTTTAGATGTCTAAACAACAAGTTATTAATGATGTGTTTACGTTTTAATTTAACTATTAATGTTTATACCTAGTTATTACGGAAAATTAACAAATAAATACAAGTGTCTGGTTTTTTCTTCATAGCGTCACTGGTTCAAGAGAAATTCAGCCGGGCCATGTAAAAAGGACACCCTATATAATTAGATTTCGTTCTAACATACACATATTAGTTATACATAGTAGTTATAAAAAGTTATAAAGTATAAATTATAAAGTTATAAATAGAGTTCATCGTAACCTGATGAGACAAGCAAGGTTGACACGGACACTTCCTTTTGCGCCAAAGCCCGCGAATTTGTCCAGCATGTGGAGAAAAGTGATTCAATGTTTCACACTTTATCATTGTTGTCTCCATATAGCGAGCGAGTAAGAATGCTACCATCTATGTCAATTTGACTTTTTTTGTTCCCCAGTTCTGACTTTTGCCTACGGTCTGTTTTGTTCTATATACTGATTCACATCTTGTTTTGTGTTTACCTTTGTGCATATAAAAAGTGAATATATTTATCAGTATGAATGTATAACAGGGTCGCTGGTAGTATATTGATTACCCCATTAATCCTCAATTAGATTAGTTCTATTGGATGTGTATAAAGTGATTAAATAATATTCAGTACTCCATCAGCTTACTTGTATAAATTGGAAGACTGTATTTATTAGCGTGTCTGTTTTATGTAAGTAGTAAAGGGTATGGAGGAACACCGCCTCCTTATGAATAATATATTTAAGTTCACTAGTTTTCGTGGTCCGCTTGACCAATTAATATCTTTCAATTAATTAAGGTTTTTAGTTGAGATAAAAAATTCAGTGTCACGAGCGGGATTCGAACCCACGACCTTCGGCTAAATACGCCGCTACTCTACCACTTGAGCTATCGTGACCTCGATCCACTGGGGCATTAACTTCCCATCTCAACTCTCAAATCTTTTGAATTTTCCCTCCTTTTTGCCATTTTACATTCCCGCTCGTGACACTGACTTTTTTTATCTCAACTAAAAACCTTAATTAAATGAAAAATATATTTAAGAATGAGTAAGACAGTGATTGTCTGACTTTAAAACCTGCATGCTTTGAGGGCTTAATGACCTTGCTGTCAGTCACCGGATCTCGTTTTGTATTTCCTTTTATACATATTTAGGGTGTAGTATTCTTTAGAGTGAAAGTGTGATAAAGCCGATGAGGAAACATTAACCCCCCCAACATCGACCCTCTCACCCTCAATTATATTAGTTATATATTATGTGTAAAGGTTGATGAAGTATATCGAATTCTCCACAACCCTACTTGAGTGAATGGTGTGAAGAATGTATTTAAGAATGAGTGTCAATGTGAGTGTTACTAGCTTTAAAACCTGCATGCTTTAAGGGCTTAATGACCTTGCTGTCAGTCACCGGATCTCGTTTTGTATTTCCTTTTATGCATATTTAGGGTGTAGTATTCTTTAGAGTGAAAGTGTGATAAAGCCGATGAGGAAACATTAAGAAATCCATCGACCCTCTCACCCTCAATTATATTAGTTATATATTATGTGTAAAGGTTGATGAAGTATATCGAATTCTCCACAACCCTATTTGAGTGAATGGTGTGAAGAATGTATTTAAGAATGAGTGTCAATGAGAGTGTTACTAGCTTTAAAATCTGCATACTTTGGGGCTGAAATGGCCAATCTCTAGTTCTCGTTTTGTTTTCATTGTGTGTATATTGAGAGTGAATGTATTAATTAGTATGACTGTTTGAGTGTGAGAGGGTCGATCGCAAAACTGCCTATGTTAATTTGTTTAAGTTACCATCAGTTTACCATCATTTTTGTTTGTTTTTTTAGAGAAAAATATATTTGTTTAACTAATTCAACTTAGACAACTGAACAAACCAAAATGGCTTCTTTCATACAATAAACGAAAACTTTGTGCCTAATCCCATGTTTTCGCGTCTTTGTGGAACAAATAACGATTAAATGAATTGTTTACTGGGAAATGAAGGAAGGCCTCGTACGAAGTTTTCCCTCGGGCGACAAAGTGATTCGCATTACTAAGCCAAGATATTTGGAGAACTTAACGTAAAGTCTCTAATTCTAAGCAGAGAATCTTTCGGTTTTTCCTTTTTTTTCTCTTGGGAGACTTAATATAGGATTTCCCATCTTCATTCCAACTAGATTTTCCCTTTTTACGACTTTACGCTGGATAAACGACCGCATAAAGCCACGGTTAATGTTAAAAGTTATTTATATTGTCAAGAAGTCCCAGAAGTGCTGTGTCTCTCTTGCTTGGTGAATTAACTAGTCTTCTACGCGAAGCCTTTATGAATTAATAAACTAATTAGTCCTAGCCTAAACTCATATCACTTGTAAAATTGCTTCTAAAATTAAGCATCAGCTAAATAGCAAAATACATTTTTTCCTTATCATTTAATCTACTTTTTATAAGCGTATCCATATTTTTAATGTTAATTAACAAACGTTAGAATGTGCATAAAGCGTAAAAGCATACAGCTTTAGCAGAAATGAGATTTGCATTACTTATTACTTCAATTTTACGAGCCAACATGAGAAGTTGTTTTCGCTAAGAACTCATGTATTTTTATTTCTGTTTGAAATTAAAAATTACTCGTAACAGCCCGCATTCCAGGTTGATAAATATAGGGGACAAAACACCCGTATGTTTTTAAAAAAACTTCGTGGAATGTCGAAAGTCGTGTATTTCAATAATTTGGTGTCCATTTCAACTATGCAAACTGACATTTTATCGGTTTTAATCTACACTTACGATAAAGCCATGACAAGCTTTATCCTACTCGTTTACGATAATCCTGGTCCGACGATTTTTGAGTCATTTTGGTCGAAATCTCGAGCTCTCCATTGATGGTGAATTCTGGGGGCCGTAGCCTGGGCCGATAAAACAGAGCAAGTATTAAAAAGAAAAAAGCTCGCAAAGATGCAAAGACTTGCGTGCATCTGTATAACGGGAGCAATGATAACATGTCCCACAGTTAGTATTGAAAAAATACTGGGATTAATCCCCCTGCATCACATGATAATGAGGACATTACAGGACATTACAAACTATTATTAGTATCATTAAAGAGAAACCGCCAACAGTAATAAAACTAAAATGGAGAGACAGCAACAAAATAATGTAGGAACATCCGATACTCATTGTTCCAAGAGACGACACGAACAGGATGTTTGAATTTAATCAAAACTTTCAAATAAACCTAAGTACCAAAAAAGTATGGGAACGAGAGGAAAACACCTCCTTTAAGAATGGCACCATCTTTTGGTACACAGATGGATCTAGAACACAATAAGGTACAAGGGTAGGAGTATTCGGTCGTGGAACCAAATGCTCAGAACCACTGGGAAAACACACCAGCATCTTCCAAGCTGAAGTCCATGTAATCGAGAGATATACTCAATTCAACTTTACAAAAGGATACAAAAACAAGAACATAGCTATCATGTCATATAGCTAAGCAGCTATGAAAGCACTAAGCTCAAATATCATTAGTTCAAAGATGGTGTTGAACTGCAAAACCAAATTAAACTTATTAGGTACGCAGAACAAAGTCAGCCTCTGCTGGGTCCCAAGACACATCGGAGTAGAAGGCAACGAGAAAGCAGACACCCTTGCAAGGCAAGGAGCTGCTACATCGCTGACAGGACCTGAACCCTTCTGTGGCATAGGAACCCACACTATCAATGAGTACATCAGATAGAAGGACAAAAAGAAAATGAAGGAACAATGGAATTCACTCATTGGACACAAACAATACAAGAATCTCCTAACAAATTGCGGAAGGAAAGAAGATACAGAAGGTGTCAAAGGAAGCAGGAAAAACTGCGAATCCTAACAGGAAACCCCAAGTTTAATGGACATTTAAAGAAGATTGGAATAATCCAAGACGGCAGATTCTGCAAAGAGGCAGAGAAGACACCAAAACACCAACAGTGGTGCTACACTTGCCCGCAGGAGGAGGTGCTTTGGGAGTGCAATGTGACTATAGAAGAGATTCAACCATTGAAACAGGGCTTACTAATCAAGTTCCTTGATGAAATAGGACTCACCGGTGTGCTTTAGGCAAAGAAGGGGGGATACAATAGCTCTTAAAGGACGCAGTATATTACACCCCGACCAATACGTCTACATCTACATCTACGATTGGGCGGACCAGGATGATAAAACAAACCTAACGATCATGTCGAAGATCTCAACTACATCTCATAACTTGAGAGTTTAAAACGTTTATTTATTTATTTTTCTTATTTTTTTATTTTTTTATATATATTTTTTGTCAAATAAGACTCAACACACTTAACTACGCGAACATTGTTACAGCAGTTGTCCGTGTAAGGGTGACAGTTGTTGGTAGGAGAAGATTCCCATGCCTGAGAACTCTACTTCTCATATTCGCTATGTTCTTCCTCTGCCTCCAACTCCACGTCTCCAATCTGACGGGGAGGGAGTCTTCCACAGAGCCCGTCAACGACTCCGCAGTCATCCTCAGCATGGTGCCGCAGGTACGTACTGTCATAGTTACTATTTATAGCATAAAACAAGTCCTTAAAAACAAAATTATTATTTAGAATCCGAAGAAAAGATAAATTTCCCCATGTTTTGATTCAATACAGGAAAAATAACAAAGCGCGAAAGCAGCAGTTGAAGAAGTCCAATGGAAGGTACAATGTAACATGTTTAGTTCAGACATAACTATATAGAATTTTACAGCGTAAATGAAAACAAAATGGGAAAAAACAGAAAATAGAAACAAAAGGAACTATTCATTAGTAGTCACTCCTATATATTAGCAATCACTTTCACTTACTCCTCAGTCCTCGGGGATGATTATTTGGGAGGGTGCGGGATGAAAGGTTTCTGACAAGAGGGTTTATGTGACTGGATAATTGTTTGTGAAACTTCTTGCAGCGGTTTTCACTACTTCAAGGATATATTGGATCCCAAGGTCATTGTGAATCGTAAGTTTGGATACATAGAAAGGAGCATTGACGATGGTTCGAAGGATTTTTGATTGTAAGGATTATATAAGTGGGAGGTTGGAACTTTTTGTTGAATCCTAAAATTCAATGTCCAAACATGCTTCAAAATAGTTATATAAATGAGTCGTTTACTTTGTAAAGTCAGTTTCGACTGTTTATCCAGCGATCTTTTGAGAAGTGGAGATTGGTAGAGGGGATGTTAGGTCTTGTTCAATAGTTCAAGTTGGGATCATTCAGGTCATAGTGAGGAGTGAAAAAGCTGGATAGATAGGAGGCAAATAAGTCTCTTCGTTGGACGATGCCCAAGAGTCATTATCTCGGCAAATGTATTCACATAGTTGATTTGAGGAAGTAGAACGACGAAATAAACATATCAAAAACCGGAAAGTTTCAACTTAAAAAAAAATATTTATTTAGAAATCGTGAGATGCGGTCTGGTGTGATGTAGGTTTCAGAAAAACATTTTCTTTATCGTGCCAACGTTCGATCTTTATTGAGATCATCTTCAGGGCTCAAAGTGTTTGTCTTCTGTGTAATTGTGCCATTCTTGCGTGTCGTGTCACCACACATTAAAAAAAATGGCGAAACCAGGGCTTATTCACAAGAATTTTGGAGTTTAGAATCATCAAAAAAAAGTTCGGTCCACAAATCCGTAACTCACCAACCGTGGGTCCCCTTTTTATTTTTAATTTTTTTTTTTATAATTCCCATCCACCGCCCCGCCGTACCTGAGGGAGACCCCATACCGGCGGACCTTGGCCACTAGACTGACTGATTTTCTTGTATGGGGGAAAATAGAAGCATAACGCCTTCCTTATGCCTCGCTCTAAACGAGGGGCATGAGGAAGGTTAGGGGTATATATTTTTAATCTCTGTATTACTTAAATTGACCTAATCTAATAGGTCTCCCCCTTGCTGGTTACTCCTTTTCGCACAGTAATATCATACAATCATTACATAAAATTGCAAAATTAAAATTATAAAAACTATATAAAATTACAAAACAATATAAATATACTAATTTAAGCAATAAAGAACAATCACAGTTTTAGGTACTATATAACAATGTTAACTTATTTTTAAAGAAGTAACCAGCCCGGAATTATCTGTACTAAGGTTACACACTTAAATATATCACAGTTTAATCACAGGTGGTTTAGAAAGTTTTTTTGGACCGTGGGTCCCCTTGTAAATATTACCAAGATCGGCGAGATGCCAGTATCGCACATAAGACGTTTTTCATGTTAACAGTCCCGGCGCACGGGGAATTTTGAATTGTATACATTTTTCAGAAGAAGTGACATCAATTTATCGAAGATCCCAGAGGAAATCCTTCCCCGAATGTGATGGTCCCATGCGAAATCGGAATAAATCCTATGACCCGGGTACCCATGGAGGCAGGATCCGGGCCTAAATCTTATTTCAGGAGATTACACTAACCCCTCGGCCACCCCGTCCGCTTTCACTGACTTTGTTCGTACTTTCCACTCTTCCACCCCCACAGCCGGATTCGTCACAAAGGACAAACGCTCAACACAGGGCCTAGATACGAATTCAATCGGCCTTTTGCCGACCGTCTCGACCCTAGAATAAAAAATCCTTTCTTTAACTAAATGTTACAATCAATATTAATTTAACGAAAGTAAACTCGAGTTTTATAAAACAATAAAAGTTTAATAATGCACCTTATCGCTGTCAGACATTAATTGCTGCCTCATTCAATTTTATTTGATTATAAATATTTGTGTTATCTGTTATTAATATATTTGATGTTGTTTGTGCTATTCGAAAACTCAACGTAAAAACACAACAAGATCAATGAAAAATTATTATTTTTAATATGTAGTTTTTTCTCTCTATTCTGAAACGTGCCAAAAGAATATTTTAAAAAGGTTTACTTCAATTTTTCTGAAATTATTTGTTGGTATTTCCTTTCTGCAATAATAATTTAACTGTATAATTCTTTTATTTAAAAAAGTTGAGAAATTCGATTTATGACCATTTTTATTCTATTTCATTTGTTATTTATTTTTCTATGCATAAATTGGTTAAAGATTTCTCTTCCTTATAAGAATTAACCTAATAGCGACATTGTAACAGTACCTAAGTTTATTTATTTACGTTTTTTTACATCAACTTAATCTATCTATCTGTGTTTCTTACGTTTTATTCTCTCTCACTCTCCTCTCTCTCACTCTCTCTCTCTCTCACTCTCTCACTCCCTCTCTTACTCTCCCTCCTCTCTATCACTCTCTCCTCTCTCTCACTCTTTCTCTCTCTCCTCTCTCACTCTCTCCTCACTCACTCTATCTCCTCTCTCACTCTCTCTCCTCTCTCATTCTCTCTCTCTCATTCTCTCTCTCTCATTCTCTCTCTCTCACTCTCACTCACTCACTCACTCGCTCGCTCACTCACCTCCTTCACACCTATTTTCTTCTTATCCTCTCTTTCTGCCTCATGCTAACTTTCTTTTGCTAACTAATAAAAGTTTTGTCATTATTCTTCATAAAAATTAAAATTATTACTTATTAATTAAGTAAAGAAAGCAAATATAAATCATCAAATGCGATAGATGATGTAATAGATGTATCCACTGGCTGATATATTTATTATATTTAGAAAAAAAATTGTTTTACGTACTTTATGCATATACATTTATATGTACATAAGCATTACTTTAGCACTGTTTTCGACCTGTGTACGTGTGTTGGGTTGATGGCGGAATATTTATAAAAGACCCCATCGACCCCCAATTAGATTCGTTTGTTATTCTTTGCAGGTAGATGGAGGAATAATGAGTACTTCATCTACCAAATAGAATTAATGCAATGTATATAGGTGTGTATGTATTTATTTGTGTGAGTGCGTATTAAGTGTGTTGTTATATTTCGCATGTGCTTGGGGCTGAAATAACAAAGCTGACGGATGCCCCTTTAATTTGTATGTTGAAACCATAAACATTAAAAACCTAAAAAAAAGATAACATTAACATTCAGTTTGTTTAATGCTTTGTTTTCTCGCTTCCTAGGTTCTTCATAAATTTTTAAATGCTAAACCGAGAAATATAAGCAACCTAGCAAATGGCACATTCGGGAACCAGACGGATTATAAGAACATACCGATACCAGAGATACTACGAAATATTTATAAATACAATAATGCACAAACTGTTCACAACGAAGATATATTTGGACCAATACAGAACGACACTCTAATCATCGTTATTCAGGTATGCTTTGAGTAATTAAATTTTAACAAGTTTCTCTTTTATATATGTTTTTTTAATGATCCAGATACATACAAGAATAGTTTATCTAAGGCATCTGATAGTATCTTTGGCACAAGCAAGGGACATAGATACTACACTCATCGTCTTCTCTCACGACTACTACGACCCAGAGGCAAATGAGTTGGTCCAGTCAGTGGACTTTGCAAGGGTCATGCAAGTTTTCTACCCGTACTCTATTCAGACTCATCCCAACACTTTTCCTGGACAGTCTAAAGGAGATTGCCCTCGAGATATTAACTATCAACAGTAAATATTTTTTCACATCTGAATTTTTAAACTTCTTGAGGAAATCATTCTTACATGTCTTATTAATTAAATTTATATTTCAGTGCCCAAATTTTAAAATGCACTAATGCTGATCACCCAGACTTGTATGGACACTACAGGGAAGCGAAATTCACTCAAACAAAACATCATTGGTGGTGGAAGGCAAACAGAGTTTTTGATCAGCTTGAAGTAACGAGGAACCATACAGGTATTTAATTAATTGATAATACTTAATATTTTTATTGTTGTTAATTTTAAATTGGAAAAATCTAGGGCTTGTACTGTTTCTTGAAGAAGACCATTATGTGGCAGAGGACTTCATTTACATCCTGAGGCAAATGCAAGGTGCCTGCAATGTGGCATGTCCACAATGCAACATCCTCTCTCTTGGAACGTACCTCAAGACTTACAACTATTACGGTCACACAAAACAGGTAAATGCAATATTTCATGAAAACATAAACAATTACAATATAAATTAAACACAAAATCCAAAAAATTGCTTGCCTTGCTATTGAAGCACGCTTTCACTGCTTCTTGTTCTCAATTTTTTTTGTTTCAACGCGTTTAATTACTTACATTTTGAAAACAAAACCGAATTTGTCATTTTTTTACGGGATCAGAAAGAGGCACTGCGTGCTCTCAAACGACACCAGGCACTCTCAGCTGCAGCTGTTCCGCCTTCGTGGGGCTTCCACATCTTACCATCACTCTATCAGCACTATCATAAGGTATAGAATCAACAATGTTAAAGTCAGTGCTTGCTATTCTCATAAACGTTTCCTGTTTTTGTTTTGGGTTAATGCAAATACTAAATTTATGCATTTGAAACTAAATAGGGCATGTATTTTTTGATAAATTATAATATTTATGATTGAATGTTTTAGTTTATATATAATAAAAATTCAAACTTGTTCTTACAGTTTTATTCGCTTGTTTTACCTCCAGAAAACTAAGATTTTTATTGTCCATTTTTGTAGTTCTATTGTTCTGTTATGCCATTTATAAAATAGTTTTCATTTCTTCTGTTATTTAGATATTTTAGTTAAAATAATTAATTTAGTTTAATAATGTTTTTTATTTTTAATTGTTTCTATGTTTACGACCCTCATTTTTCAACATTTTGTTCTGAAATTCTCCTTTCCATACTTTTTGTCCCTGCTAGGTGATTCACTCAACAGAAAAACCTTTCCTAAATATAAAAATTTAACTCCTACAGATAACTTAAGTCCATGTAGTGTGTGTATGTACTTTGAACTTATGTACCACCACATAACCAATTGCAAGCATTGATTTTCCTGATATAATTATTAAAGTATGGTAATATATGTGCATTAGGCGTCAGTCAATACTAATTGATCAACTGTCGCTCCGCTTGATTTAAAAAAAAAAGAAGTAAAGTGCTACATTTTGTTAAACTATAATAAATGTATGAATTTAGAGGCATGTAAATTTATTTAAGCCATTATAAAAAAGTGCAAACCTTTCTTAATTACTTATTTAAGTTTTGTACATATAATAAATAACAAAGAAGTAAGAATTTAGTTCATGTTTGTTTTCCTTGTTTCTTTATTGCTTTGCACACTCAGTCGAACATCTTCTTCAGTATATTTGAATTGAATTTATATTTTTTCAGGCCGAGGTAACTCCTTGGGTAAGCAGTAAACACAACATGGGGATGGCGTTCAACAGATCCGTATGGAGTGAGCTGAGAAGATGTGCTCAGCACTTCTGCTCCTACGATGATTACAACTGGGACTGGAGCCTTCAACAAGTATCACTGCAGTGCTTGAGGGTCAAGCTTACTGCAATGGTCATGCGAGGACCAAGAGTCTTCCATATTGGAGAATGGTAAATTAAAACAAAAGAAAAAAAAATCAATAGGTTTAACTTAAATCTTTCAGCGGAGTCCATCACAAGAAAAATAACTGCGAGAGCACTGCTGTGATATCAAAGGTTCAGAAAGTACTGGCGAACGCATCCCGCCACCTCTTTCCGTCTCACCTCACAGTCACTTTCACGACAGTGTCGAAAAAGAACAAGCTCAGGAAAGGCAACGGGGGATGGGGAGACGTACGAGACCACCAGCTTTGCATGAACATGACACTCCCGGTTAATCATAGTTAGCCCAAGTAGCCCACGCTTCACAGCCCGCGTATCAGAGACGGGTTTTGAAGTGTGGCATGCTGAAACAGTTTTTTGAGTCAAACATTCCTCAAAGGCTTTTTTATTTCCTTTATCGAAGAAATGTCGCAACAGGAAAATTTGCTTTTGAAAATAATTTAACGTGTTATTCGGCAAAAAAAAAAAAAAAAAAGAATAAAACTATCATAGTATTAAGTACCAACAAATCATATAGAACAAACTTAGTTGCAAGTAGTAAAAAAATTATAAAATATTTTTGAACATGAAATCTTGCAAATTCTTATTAAGAAATATAAAATGTAGGTTATGTTAATTTAAACAATATATACACATTTAAATTTTTTTTAAATTAAAATAAAAGCAATCCTTTTACTCAGAGGGTGTAGCACTTGAAAATAAATCTTTAACACTTTTGCTACAAGTTATACTTAGTGTATAAACAATATATTTATGTGCAGTATAGTTATTTATTCTAATTTTGAAACCCAGAGTATATTTATAATAATACTATTCTTTTAAACAATATATTAAGTGTATAAACAAACCAACTGCTTTGCAAGAAAGGACGGTTTGACAAACAGTTTATAGAAAACTTTTTTCATTAATTTTATGCAAGAAAAAATTAAATCTTATTTCATTCCAAGTATTATTCTTCAACCAATTTTAGATTAGATAATAGTAAAACATCCCTTCGTAGTTAAAACGCTTTGTAGTTTGGAAATACAACGTATTGTTCTCCGATACTTTCTGGTTATAAAATTACTTTTTGTATGTAAATTTACATTTTTCTTTCTTCCGATATATTTTCCTGTTGCAACCTTCTCAACTTGACAAAGTGTCGGTATTCTAAAGCATTTGTTTAGTATTTATATTTTTTCTTATAATCATTAAATTCCTCATTATTGGATGTAAGAACTGTTGACGGTTTTATATATATTATTGTACCCTAGTGTTTTTTCCCAATGAGATAAGCATTGAAATTTCAAAAAATGTCAAATTACATTCCTCATACATTTTTCAGAGTTATTATAAAATGATTCCATGCGTTGGTTTTTTTTGGTTTTTTTTTTTAAAGTTTGTGAAATTGAGCAACTATGATGTAGATTTTGTCCAATATCTCTGTTCCTCTTGTAAAAAAAATGCATATATATTTTTATAAAATAATTTATGTCCAAACATGTTTTGACATTTCAGAATCAAACTAAATGTTCAGATGTAAAAAAAATCTCTTGTAATATTTCTTGTAAATCATATTGTACATACATATAAATTATAAATATACATATATTCTAGTCGGAATTTTGATTTTTCTTTGTTGTCATATTTATTATAATATATAACAGCGTATACAAATTCTTTTTATTGTTATTGTAGACTGTTTATTTATTCAAATTCAAAAAAATTTAAGTAAATTTTTTAGATGTGAAATACCAGAAAAAAGAAAGATAATTAAACTCTATAAAATATAATGTTTTAATTTTACATTTCTCATGTTAAACCAATATTTATAAAAATTGTTACTGTTTTTCTCTTCTTTAATTGAAATGAATGTTAATTATTTATTGAATTTGTTGTATTGAAATTGTTATAAAGACAAGAAAATAAATTGTGATTGATCAGTGGTTTGTAATGAAATCCCTAGTTTAAATACATAAAATTTATTGTTCAAGTATAATTAGTTGGCCAAGGACAATCACTTTAAGTTTGTGGCTCACTCACCCAGGCCTGAGGTAACATTGCCAGCATACTTCCTCTGCTGAAACTTCTTTTTCTGGTCGTCAGGCACATCAGTTAAAAGCAACCAATCAAGAGAACAGAAAAAATATTTTTTTAACAATGGTAGATATTGTATTTACATAAAGTGAAGAGGAATTAAGTTTCTCACTGGGCGACCGGTTTTAATTTACCTACCTGCACGATGCCACCCTTGCCAGGAAAAACATAGTTAACATTTAACATGGTCTATCAGCCATGACAGAGAACATTCCATATTTTTAATCAAAACCAGCAACCCATTTACACAAAAATGATTGGTGGATTTGCTTAACTTAACATCCACCAAGAAAAAAACGATAAATCTGATTTTTTTTAATTCAGCCCGGAGTACCAAAATCGGTTACAGTCCAGGATAAAACTTACTGTGAAACTAAAATAAGTCATTTAAAAAAATAGTATACTTACCTTAACACCCATCATGATTCGGTTCACTCGCCCCCTGAGAAAAACACCAGCATGCTTCCACTGCTGAAAAGTTGAAACCCGTTTTATTTATTTTTTTATCCTTGGGTACATCAACTTAAGTCTCAGAGACAGACAACAAGATACTAAACTTTAAGAGATCTTTGGGGCTTTTACTAAGATAAAGCATATATGAGGAGTACTAATAATAATGTCAACTATACATCCGTCAGTAAACCAGCATGTTTTTTTTATGCTTGGTCATCTCATCATTCTAGTCTTTCTGTCCTCAATAATTATTTCTGCCAATATTTTGGAATTTCATCAACATCAGTGATGGTTCTTCCTATGTAATTCTCCAGGTTGATAGATAATTAAGCTACAGGCTCATTCATCTCACAGACTTCATTCAAATATTTCTTAACAATTTGTAATGTTTTCAGACTCATTTAGATAAAAATGAATGAAATGAAAATGCTTTCTATAAAATTGTAGATTTCATTTGTGTAATAATAATAATACCATTTACCACGTGGCCACCAGTCAATAATAAAACAGCATGGTTTTTTTTCTAATTAACCTCCCAAATCATTTAAAAATATAAAATATCAAGCTTGATCCTCTCATAATTCTAATCCTTCTGTCCTCAAGGATTGTCTGCCAATATTTTGGCATTTCAGCATCATAAGTGATTGTTCTGAGTTATGTTTATGTTCTTGTTAGCTTAATGTAATACACCAGGTTGATAGGTAATGAAGCTTTCAGGATCATCATCTCAGACTTCAACAGAATGTTTCTTAACAATTTGTGAGAAATTATTTTCAGACTCATTTAGATAAAAATGAATGAAATGAAAACACTTTCTACAAAATTGTAGATTTCCTTTGTATATAACAATACCATCAACTGTACAGCCATCTGTCAATAAATATATTGTCAATTTTTAGTATAAATAAATTTATACTTCATATCCGAGTTCATTAATAATAACTTGTAATTATACATTGATCTCATCATTCTAGTATTTCAGACCTTAAGGATTTTACCTGCCAATATTTGGCATTTAATCATTATCAATGTTTGGTCCGTCCATGTTACCTATTGTAATACACCAGGTTGATAAAAATCAATTGAACAATATCAACTCATCTGCCATTTGATATCAACAAATCTTTTCGCTGCCTAATACTGCATTGCCAAAAATATCAGGCTAGGTGATATTCAATTAAACTGACTTGTTGAAAGTCCAATTGCATATGTTAGCCTCTTCTTAAAGGCGATATTTACGCCTAAAGAAATAAGCAAAGAGGAAGCCCGGAAAATGGTAAACTACCTTAAGGGTCAAGCATTTTTCAAGGCTTGGAAATAATGGTCTATTCCACAATAGACACAATAGGAGACCAACGATCCTAAGGAAATAAATGTCAATAGTTTTTACAGCAACAATAGTCTTACAATAATCATGTGAGGAATTTTGTGGACGACAAATATCTTATAATCCGTCAATTTTACAAAGCTGGGTGTTTGAGGAAAGCACGAATTAAAACTTAACAAATGAGCAATAAATAACTTTAATTGACAAAACAACAAGGCTAACAACGTTTCAACTATAAAAATGCAAATTATTCAGTCATGTCCAAGGCAAATTATTGCTAAAAAGCACCGTGCCAACTACAGCATAACTTACAAAGTAGCTTATTATGTTATAAGAAGACCTATGAAATTTTCCTTTCCAGTCAAACATATTTTCTTTTATGTAGTCGAAATCAGGCGGTGCGCCAGTATCTTTGACTAGAAATTTTGTCGAAGCGATCCAATAGAGCACCGGACTCGAGGAGGCGAGCATCCTTGTCGTTACTTGGACGTTTATGTTGAGGACGCAAAATACCGTCAGGAACACGGCATGGACGATATAAACGAAGGAATGTCTCGGGAATGTATCGGAGCTTCTCTTTTGCGAATAGACCTCGTCCGCTTGTACAAAGAGATTCTTGTGCTTGTAAAGGAACTGCACGCAGGAGCCGAGTATTATGACTACAATGGGAAACGCGAGGCAAAAGTTCGGGATTTGTTTTAAAGTGTAATAACGTAGGAATCCAACATCCCAATAAGCGTCTTGAACATATGAATAAGGCATAGGGATCTTGTGACCACACCAGATCGGCTGGTCACCCGGCATGAGCAGATTGTTCCTCTCGCCGTGCCTGACGAGTTCAATCGGATATCGTAAACCACTTTTGCAGAACCTGTAAAAGCCGTCTATCTGAAAAATAAGAAAAGGAGCCAAGACAATTGCCAGGCAGGTGACGAGATAGCCGAGCGGTTTCAGATAGTCCGCTACAAATTTCAAACTGAAGCCTTTGTGAGTTTTAATACTTGTTAACATTTTGCTGAAAAAATAGTGTGCGATGAAACCTCCGTTGATGGTACCATTCGACCTGGCACAGCCGCTAATGCAAAACCAAGCGCAAGCATAGTTAATCTCGTTCTTCGAGTAAGCGAGCATCCCGTTGAACGTGCAGAAGGCGAACAAAGTCTCTGAGTAAGGCGCGATGAAGAAGACGGTCGCCGGCGAGAAGCAGAAGAAGAGGGCCGAGTTGAAGGCGATCCTGTCGTCCCTGAAGACGACCCGGGTGAGCCTGAAGAGCGTGAGGGCCGATTTGGTGAAAAGTGCGGTATTCATGGCGACGACGACGATGAGGAACGCGGACTTGAAATTGAGCCCGGTGGCCCAAGTGACGACCTGGGCCCCGGCCCCGACCGCGGACGGAAAAAGCGGAAAAAAGGCCAGGTTCGTCTCGTACGTGTACCCGTATCGGGCGACGTGGTAGAAGTGCTGGCCGTCCCAACGGCACAGGCCGCCGAATAGAAAGTCGACCGTTTTGTCCAAAACGCTCTCATAGTCGGTCACCAGGATCGGAGAGACGAAACCGTCCGAGTCGTGATCAGGAAGAATAAAATTGACCAATGCCGACAGGGCCAAAAAACCGATCCTAGAAAATATTGAAATCTTCTGAATCAATTCCTCCGGATTCAGATTCGGCATCACGTCGTGCAAAGCTGCTTTTATCGCTTATCAAACGTATCAAACTTACAATCATAATTATATTAAGAAAATTATTGAAAGACAAGAGACGTTTTGTTTGAAAAATCGACAAATCGAAACCTTTTTCAATCAAGGAAAGCCGCCTTCTAACCTCCTCTAAGGTTTCTTTCAAAAAGTCCCACATTCCCACCAAAATGGTCATATGAACATTCACAGATGGTTAGGGGTGGCAATAAGTAGGGACCGGATTTTTATGCAGTAAAAATTATCAAAATATGCAGTTGATAGCCCTGAAATAGGCAATAATATGCAGTTTTAATCCGTTAAAATATGCAATATATGCAGTAAACCATTTTTTTACTATCATAGTAACTTTAAACAAAAATATAGATAATTAAACGAAACAGATATATAAAACTAAAAATAATTAAAATTCGTATTTGATATCGCTTGTAAAAAACTTAAATATGTCAATATGTAGACATATTTAAGATTATTTTGCCCTGATGATGACCTTAATGACGGTCACAACAGTCATGTCAACTCTCAGGGTGCCAATGTTTTTGAAAAAAAGCCCATTTGTATGTCGGGTATGAATGCAGGGGCCGCTGGATTCGAACCCGGGACCTTCACCTTACAGCGATGAGGGCCGTGTCACCACCTAAACTGTTGTGGCCACTGACGCCCCCAAAAATCTTTTATTTGTCAGGTACCAATTCTCGTTCTGATTTTCAGTCTTTTCCTTACAATTTTATTTTTAAAAAAATTTAATATAAAATAATTGGAATTAGTATTCTTATAACACAAAGCAATCATGATTATGCATATTATGAATTCTAAAATATGATTAAAGGTTACATAAAATACATAACAAATGTTTATTAATTATGTTTATTTAACATCCTAATGCACAGTATAAACAGTTTTGCGTGTATCAAATGACATTCACCCTCACACGTCAAAAAACTTTGGACATATTAACAATAGACTAATTCTTAGAACACAATATAATATATTTCATTTTTAAAATTGCAAATATAGAAAAGTGGTTTGACACTGCATGAAATAACACAGTTTCAATGTTATGGTTAAATTGTACATGTTTAAAATCACTGTCTTATTACAATAGAGGTTGCGGTAAACAAATTTTAAAGAAATTGGTTTGAACCAACAGTGATGATATATTTCCTGTAAAATTAATTAATTTATTTACTTTTTATTTTACACCCTTCATTTTGACAGTTTTATTTTTTTATTTTTTATTTATTTTACAAATAAGATGATAAAAACAATATCAAAAATACATCCTTTAGAAAAATTGTTGCTGGGAAAAAGGGGCCGATTTAAACCTTTCGAGGTTTTCCTTGATTTTCTTCAAGAAGGAAATAAGTTGTGCGCAGTCTTGCTTGCTAAAAAGAGTGCTAAGGCATGAGGTGACTAATTCCTGGACTTGATCAGCTAACACCCTCCTAAAAAATTAATTATAAGCACATCAATTGATTCAATATTTTGTAAAGAGGTGGGAGTGAAAGATAATCTTTAAATTTACCATTCACTAGCAGTAACCATCCTTGTGTTTGTGACAAATGAGTCGGCAAAACTAGCAATCACTTGAATAAGATGAAATTCATTTCCCTGTCTGCTCCAGCATATGTCATTAGCCGAAAACATTCTATGCGCAAAAACAAGAAAACAATGTTTAGTTACTGTAATTATTGTATTTTTAATCAATTTGTCTACTCACTTATCATAAATATCAAGCATTGCCGCAACTGAAACTCCGGTCTCTATCATCGTAGTGTATACACGAGATTTGTTCACATCAAGACGGCAACTGAGCAGTTCTAGTTGCCAAACTAAATAATCTGGAAAATGACGGGAAAATTATAGACTCAGATATACTTGAATAAATAAATGTTCATGACTCACAGACTGGAAAACATGGAGACTGGATTGTATACTGCAGCCCTAAGCTTTTCACTTTGGACATGACAACGAGCATCTGTTCATCAGGTAAACTAGAAGTACACTGGTCCAATTCTAAATAAAAAATGTAAAATATTTTATTTAAGGATATTTGATTGTTTTTCTTTGTTTTATTTAATGTCTTTACCATATTTAATAATTTCATTCCAAATTGATTTAATAAGCTCCTGATCATCATGACCTGCACAATTCAAAATAGTCAATTTGCACTCCCAAAGCTGAAAAGGTTCTGCAAAATCTTCAAAAAGCTAAAAAAAATTATTAATAACAGTTTTTTTTTTTTTTTTGGTCTATTTAAGAGTAATTACTTCTGTTATTGAAAGAAGATTTGAATTCAGTTTTTTACAAGCTTCTTCTGCCATCGAATGAGTGTTAATCATACCACTAATTTTGTCTAAAACCTGGAATTAAAAATAAATAAAAAATTTCATTTTATTTTTAAATATAAACTATTTTGGTAATTGTTAGTACTTGTTTCTGGACTCTTGTAACTTGGACTAAGTCTTCAAGCTCGTGATGAAAGACTCCAAGATGAGGGGCACAGCCCACCTCGTCACTTCTCATACACATAACTGCTTTTCCTAAATATGTCAGCCTTTGTTGTAATTTTATTGCATCTCTGGAAAGAAGAAAAGAATTCACATAGTGCTGTCATGAGGTTAAAGAAAATGTAACTCACCCCCTTCCGGTTGCTAATTTATATAAAATAAGTGCTGCTTTTGCATGATCACCAGATCGTTCGTAGTACTGCCACATTAGATCTCTAAATCTCTTTGAATCGGGTGGAAAACGAGAAAGGTACTTTTCAACTGAAGGCTTGCCGAGGGTGACAAGGGAATTTTGTAAGTTTCTAGTAACGAGCCATTCGTACACGACTAAGTGGGCCGTTTCATCTTCCACGTTCAAACATTGAATGATTGTATCTTCCAGCTGGACGATGATAAATTAATAAATAAATATTACTGGATAAATTCATTACTGAATGATACGGTTAGAACTTACGATTTTTTGACCAATGGTGCTAGGAGGTTCGTCAAAACTAACCGGAGTGTTTCCAATCTGACATTTCATGTAAATTTGGTCGAGCATGTATGCCAAATCTTTATAGCAGGTCGAACTAAATGAAAAAAAAAATAGTGATGGTTGTTAGATAATGACTAAAACGTGTCTTACCGATTCATAAAAGCTTTCGAGCCCAGATCATCATCCAAGGGTTGGTTTTTCATCAGAAAGCTCTTAGCAAGGTTGTGTGGATCGGCTTTGTTCGCCATGTCGCAACACACTTCAATCACTCCCTGATAATATTGGTGGTTTACAAGTTGTTTGCAGACTGACGAATGGTTCAAATGCGGAGCCACTTCTTTACAAAGCTGTAAAATTATCGGTTTTAAAAGAACTCGTTCAAAAAACACAATTGGTCTAATATAAACCTTAATCGCAGAACTGAGCATGACCAATTTTTCCTCCTCACTGCGCACGTCCTTAACCGACATCAATATCTCATTCACTTTTGAACACGTCGCATCTTCGCTTTTATACAGAGTTGGGCAAACCTCTCTTAATTTAGCACTTATATTGTCTACAGATGCATTGTCATTTAAGTACCTTAAACAAAACATTGATTTTACAAAAAGTAATATGAGAAAAAATTCTTTACATTGTGATAACAATAAAATTTAAAATAGGCCTTTTATTGTAAACTATACTGCACATGCTGTTGTATTGAGAGTGAACATTCCTTTATGTGGTCAAACTGCAAAGATCTTTTATAAAATCCTTGTCTGATCAGAGAAATTGAGTTAAATAAGGCCACGAGAGCAAGCCAAGAGACAAACAAAATCTGTATTCTGTCTTAGTAGAATATTGTGGGATTTCTAAACCAACCCTAACCTGCCTATTCACCTGGACCTTAATCTGATCTAACTGATCTAATATGTAGGTAGTTCATCTTGTTGGGTTTGTATTAACATTTAAATAGATAAGGTTCGTCATCTTAGGGAACTCACTGTGCATAAAAAATATTAAAGCATATTAAACAGCAAGACTGATGCATATTTACAAAAAACTTGAATAAACAGGGTACAGCTTATACAGCCCTTCCTAGTTGTTTCGATACCTCGAGAGGGCTCATTACGAAGAAAGGGCCGATTGAAATTTCCTGGTTAGTTCAACATTGTGTAAGCTGACTTAATATAACTTAATGACAACAAGTTATAATAATTGTTAATGTAAGAAGATAGTTTATAAGGAATTTTGGATGTTTTATTACTAATACTAGGCTTGCCAATCCATCAGAAAATAAAGGAACAATTCCAAAAATCTGGAAAAAAACAAATAAATAACAAAAAAGGTGAATTATTTATTAAGGGAAAGTTATCATACATTGAGGACATGGCTCAAGCTAAAGTTGGGCTGTTGTGACCCTCCTTTTTGCTCCCTCCACCCTTGTTTTGATGACCAATATAAAAGGGAAAAGATAAGAAAAGCAAATCTCGGTCAAGAGCAGAGATGAGTTGAATAGGGACAACTACAAGAAGAGCCGCGAACCAAGTAGTATCAAAACTAGAGTAAAGGACAGAAAAAATTCAATTAGAATCGACTGAACAGGAAAGCCCTGAGACAAGAATCCAGAAAAGACAGCAAGAAGCTGAACCACCACAGAGGCCGGTTCTATTGGTACAAACACCAGCACATAATCAAGCAAACATAAACTCGGCAATTGTTGATTATCTTTACACCCCAGCAATTTCATATGGTGCACAGCTCGGTGTAAGGCAGTTCTCCTTTTTTATTCAGCACCTAATCCAGACTGAATGCATCGGTACCGCTTACCGCCAATAGTACGTAACCGCCAGCGATTGTTAGGTTTTTCATAAAATTGATTTGATTATCAATGCTGGGCAAAATTAGCATGAAAAATAAATGCTGTCAGCAGCGTAAAAGGCTGCGGATGCCTAAGCCACGCTGCAGGTAAGCAAACCCAATATAATCGCAGACTTCTACTCATTTCCGGCAAAATAGTCGTGCCTGGATGAAGTACTGCTTAAAGGCGTTGTATAGACCCGCTCCCGTTAGACATTTTTATGGCAGCGCCAGTACGTAGGTTAATATGAACACCAATTAGGTACTGGAGAATATAGGCTAGGAGTTGATGGGGCATCAACAAGGAGAATATCGATGGTAAGTGTCAGCTTGGGTAAGCACATTTGCCCAACTCAAAATATTGATTGAAGAAAATTCACATAAAACACAAGAAATTGTGGAAGAGCTTGGTGTTGATCACTCATCGCCATCTGGAGCAAATTGGTAAAATAAAGAAGCCTGACATATGGGTCTGCACGAACTAAGCAAAACCCAAAGAAATCCGACACTTTGAAATTTGTACATCTCTTCTGTTGTGCACCAAAACTCCATTTCTTGATCAAATCATCACATGCTATGAGAAATGGATTCTGTATGATAACAGGAGGCGTACAGGTCTATGGTGGACCATAACACTTCCTGAAACCATATCTGCACCCAAAATAGTTATGGTGACTGACAGGTGGTATACTGCTGGAGTTGTTCATTATAATTTTCTGAATTATGGTGAAACTATCCCAGCAGAGAAATATTGCCAAGAAATTGACAAAATGCACGGGAAACTGCAACGTCTTTGTCCAATATTGGTAAACCGTAAGGGGCTAAATCTTCTTCATGATAACGCCAGGCCACATGTTGTAATGTCAACCCTGCAGAAACTTAAGGACTTGGGATATGAAACCTTACTGCAATCTCCATATTCACCTGACCTCCCGTTTACAGACTTCCACTTTTTTTAGGCATTTTGATCGATCACTTCTTGAGGGATAAAATTTTTAGAGAACGTGGTGAAGCTGAAAACGCCTTCCAAGACTTTATTGTGAGCCAAAATAAAGATTTTTATGTGAGCGGAATAAAAGTGCTTATTACATGTTGGCAAAGATGTACAGATTGTGATGGAAAAATTTTGAATACATTTTCTTAATTTTACAAAAATTAAAAATAGTATTGACTGCCTTTTCAAAACCTGCATTATTTTTGCACATGCCAAATAAATTTGCTTCACTTATTTAGCACAGGTTATATAGAGTGAATGTATTTATTAGCAAGAATGTATGATGTGAGAGGGTCTATAGTGGAACATCGAATACCCCATTGACACACCATTAGGTTAGTTATATAATTTGTGCAAATAAATCAAGTACCCCATCATCCTAATTGAATGTGGAATGTAAATAGGAGTGAAGTATTTAAGAATGAACATGAGTATGAATAATGCCCCCCCCCCTAAACCTAAATTGGTGCTGCCCGTATAATTTAATACACTACTATAATAAATATTTGGATAATAAAATACTCACAGATTAATTAAACCGTTTATAAGTGCAGAACACAGTTCTTTTCCACACATGGACAAATCTCTGAAGGTAGCTAGGCTCATTTGGTTTATCAATTCCTTAAATTCAAAACACAATTATTATTTAACTTTTGACAAACACGACTTAAACAATTAATTACCGGCTTAAGAGTCCCAATAATGACATGGAATTGATGCTGGCAAAGGATTCTCCACAAGTTAAAAACCTGGGTAACATGTTCAACAAATACTTTGAAAGCGTCCAAAGACATTTTCTCCTGGGCGAGCGCTTCTTGGAGACGCATTCTCAAATTCGACCTGGAAATCAATTCCGCATCCCTGATACTTCTGTAATTGCAATTGTACTTCTTATTGTTATGAAGTCAATGATTTTAAAATGTTATTGTCGGGCAACTTACAAAGTCGGTATGTCTTGGCTCGCTTGTGTAGTGTTCTTCTCTAGGAAATTTTTCAACCCGGTGAGACGTGCTGTCAAAACTCCAAGATCGTTCAAACTCAGAGATGACACATACTAAAATAATGTAACTATTATAATATTGCAATTTTATAAAGCCTTACTAAAATTCCTTTTCTTAGCTATAATTGCTGTAAGCTTTCCTTTATTTGAACCATAAAAAAACTTACATATTGCTTATTGTCTTCAAAAATAACAGAAGAGACTATTTTCTCTGCCCAAATCGGTCTGAGAATCCTTGTAAGATAGAGATAAAGACCATTATGTTTAGAAGACATCTGAATTGTGAACGTTTCTGATTGTGCTGGAAGTGTTGCTGGAAGTCCAGGGCTTGAAAATCTGTTTCTGTCGCTGATTGGCGTGCTCACTTGCGTCGGACGGAAACCTTAAGTGACAACATAGATTATTTATTGCTGCATGAGCTGTATTAATCGTGCAATGAAAATTACCAGTGGGAAGACCAAAATCTGGAGACTGGCGAGTATTGTCAAATATATTCGTCGCGCATTTAGCCATGTCAGGTTGATTTCCGGTAAAGCCGACTTGGCCAGGTCCAAAATTTGGCTGATTTATGTTAAAATGCTGTGCTGGCTGGATGATGTGTTTGGGATCACCGCCATATAAGAAAAATGCTCTGGTTGCCCATTCTGCCAGCTAATAAAAGTAGTTTTATTAATATTTTCTTAGGAACTAATTTTATATAGTATTACTTGAGCCTGTGTTGTCATAAAATTGCAAGCGAGAATCAAAGCCATGGCACAAGCCTGATCCGTGCCCTGTTCTAAAAAGTATTGTTTGATTTCATTGCAATCCGGGCCGTTTTTTTCTCTAAGAACTTCGGCAAGAATATCAACGGGTCTGAGTTTCTCATAAACTTCTGTTCCCTAATAAAAATAAAACAATTAATAAATATAAAATAATTTGTTTAAAAGCAAAATAAAATTACCTGCGGGGTGAGGAGGATGAACCGGTTTGGGTCGATGTTCTGCTGGTAAACCAGGATGTGCCCACTCGGGCCATAAACTGGTTTTGAGTTTTCCTTGATTGAAGGCGACAAGCTTAAATCGGCAAGCGCAACAACAGGCGCGCAGAGATTGTGAAACTGGGTTTCCTCTGAAAAATTTATCCTGGCTGGGAAAAAGTCCGAGCTGAAGCACCAAACTTTGTCCTGTACCATCGCTGTGTTAGTCGTGGCCATGATGAAAGTACCTAATGTATGAATGAAGAAAACAAAACCTTAATAAAGAAACAACGAAAATCACAAATAATTAATTACCAGCTTTGTGCATGGGGACTGTGAGAGAATCTCTCATAAAAGGCAGCGACGACGGGTTTAAACCAGGCGGAAATCGAATATGAAGGAGTCTGAGAGTAGAGGGCCTGTGTGGGGGTGGGCTACCAGTCGAAAAATAAAGCCTAATACCAGATTTTGTCAAACCGATAAGCCCTAAATGTGGCGAGTCCGTTTCTTCAATCACACAAAGAGAGCAAACAGCAGTTATTTCCGGAAGGTCCCGCCTAGTGTGTTGAATAAGTTGTTGTGTACTATGGAAAAAAAACCTTTTAAAAATATTAAAATTGCTGTGAAATTTTTATTAAATACTTAAATGACAAGTCTTGACTATACATTTTCAGTATGTAAAGATAACTCAGCTTCTAGGTTGTTAAATTCATGTTCATAAAAACAGTTTTATTCCAATACATTATAAGTATTGTGTGGTAATACATCGGGGATATAAGCAGGATGTGGCATGACTATCTTTCAGAATAAACTAGGGTATGTTGTTTTTACAAGTTAATAATGTTTTTTAAGTTTATTGAAAACTACGATGGACTTTTGAAAAAGCTGGACAAGAATGAGATTGTATTTAAGTCGTTTCTGAATATTTTTTTCTACCTATCCTCTCTGTTTCAGTCTGTCACATGCTTTTCTTGTCTCTCCCTGTTTATAACCCGGACATTGAGCCTTGAAAATGCACTATTTCTATCAACATAATAAAGCAATGCTGAAATAAGACAAAAGACAATGCATCTATACATTGTTTGTCTTGCCTAACTTTGTTTATATCCACTAGTTTTTGTGGTCCGCTTGATCATATATCAATATCTATCAATTAATTAAGGGTTTTAGTTGAGAAAAAAATTTTAGTTGAAATTGTTTATATCCCTGAAAACCGCACATGACAGTTGGAAACTCCACTAACTGATCGCAAACCATATAATCATGTTAATAAGATAAAATGGCAGACTCATATTTGGCATGTCGTAGAAATTCACCCGCCACTATGCTAATCTGCACCTCTCTACCTTGCCGAATTAAGTTTATTTTCTTGTTTGAATTGTCTGTAATTTTTATTTTCTTCATGTGTAGATGTAATAAACTTATTATTACTACTATACTAATCTCCACCTTATATATTGGCCAAATGAGAAAGTGAATTAGCTGGACTCCTCTATATTAATACAGTCAACTCTTGATGATTTGAAAGCCAAGGTACCACAAATTAATTTGAATTATCAGGAAGTTCAAAATATTAAAAGTTCATTTGCATTTTTAAAGCTTCTTACTTAAATTGGACATACACAAAACATCATTAACATAATGAAAAAATGGAAATAGATTAACTGTGGAAGTTAACTTATGCACTATTAAAAAGTTCATTAAATGATTTTGTTTAAATGTGGCCTGGCGTCCTTTGGCTAAATGATTTTCCAAAGTGATCAGAATGCTGAGAACATGTCAAAGCATGAATGCCAAACATAACTAATTCAAAGAAACATTAATTATAAAGAGGGGAAGTGGCTCATTTCATTTTATAGAATGCTCTATCTCTTCCCGTGTTACGAAAAATATTTTGCATTAATGAGTGTATCAAAATGCACAGAATCTTTTCAATTTACCAAAGTGACCTGCTAAGGAGTTCATATTGTCAAAAATTTGAATGATCAAGTTTCGAATGAACAAAATTCAACTTATTTGATTTTTATGGACAAGGACATTTGCTAGAACCTAGAATTTGAAGGTTTAAACATTTACAAACTCCTTTTGCCTTTTTATTTATTCTTTCTATTAATAATTTAATTCCTTATTGAGAATAATTTTTCATTCCTTCATAAATCAAGGAAGTAAATGTTAAGATTCTATTCTTTTTCATAAACCTAGAAATTCTTAAAGATGTATTACACTGTATGAAAAAAATCCTACTTACGCACGTACTGCTTGATGGTGTATTGAAGAATGCGATAACGTGGCAACTTTGAAAGCCGAGCTGGTCCCGCATTTTCCTAAGTCGTACACATCGATCGTGCCCTTGGTCGTTAAAGTATACAATATATTTCTAGAGTCGTCTACAACAATGTCCCTTATCGGATCCACTTCGGTGAATGCCGCAGCGATAAAAGATGGCACTATGAATGACAAGGAACTTTTCGATATGTTAACCTTCTTACACCTCTTGCCCCACCAGCCAATTTCTTTCTGCAATTAATTAACACATTTGAATAAAAAAAAAGAAAAAAGTATAATTATATTTTTTGTATTTACCTGATACACAAGTTCAAAAACATTGCCATCCTGACCGCCCATAAATATCCTCCCATCAACCGTTCCCTTTACTACTTTAATTGGCACTCCTTCAGTCGGTAATGAATAAATTATATCATGAGTGAGCTGGAGTTCATTTGACTGTTCTGAAATTCAGTTTAAAAATTAACAACACAATAAAATTATAAGACAAAAAAAATTACTAACTGTCTGGAGCTTGGTTTAGCACAATGCCAAGTACAATTATTTCCAACGGTGTCGTTATAATGAGCAGGTGTTTAATAGTCTGATGAAATACATCGGGGCGTGACGGCACGAGGCCGACACTTGTTATAATGTCACAAGCACCATCATAGTATGCTACATCTCCACTTTAAACAAACTTAGTTAAAAAATTAAAACAAAAAAATTAAGAACAAAAATTTACCCAGTTTCAAAATCCCATATGTACAGGTCGCTCTCAATACTGACCCAAGCTCTACTGATTTCAGGAAAGACGCCCATTAGCGTATCAGGTTGAATGACTTAACATATGTTGAGGAATAAGTTTTTCTTTTTTTAAAAAATAATTATAGAAATAAATAAATTATAAATCATTCAATCATACAATATTACATCAATTGTGGAATTTTCTCATGTGGTGGGGCGATGCATCTAATTTTCTTGGTCTGTCTATCTAAACTAATTTTGACAGACAAAAATCACCGGAGAGAGGCAGATTAAGATGAAAGGCAAGTATCAAGTTACAATCTAAGTCACATGGTACGCACAACTGGATTGTTATATATTAGCAGTTGCTACTGTAGTCAAATATTTTGTTTTAATTTAATAATAAAAAGCACAAACTAAAATTTAAATTTATATTTTTAATAAAAGGGTGACAAATTTTTTGTCAAAAACATAATTTGTAACAGTGCACAACAATCCATTCACATGTTATAAGTCACATTTAATTACGTGGCTGTATAATTTTCTAACAGCAATAAATAAATAAATAAAAACTGGCTAATCAAATGCAATATTTCATTTTTCATTTGTCTTTGAATACCAACCTATTTCGTTGGTTGAAACCAATGCATACAAATTTTGTTTATTTTCCTCAAGTCAAAGTTGATCTTGTTAATTTTGCCAAAAAGTAGAGCTATTTCTTGGGAGTAATCAGTTTTTTTAATAAATAAATAATGTAGGTATTTATACACTGGGGCAGCAAATTTAGACAGTCTAACGACTAACGGTCACTAGAGGCCCTGCAGCAAATGTGTTAATTATAATTAATTGACCAAATAATTCAAAACCTTGCCGGTTTATTAGTGAATATTGTTTCTACCATGCTGAATATATATGAAAGAAAAAAAGGATACTTCCAACCTGTTCCAAGATCTCTGGTGGAAGAGGAACTTTATTAATTATTTTAAATTGATTAATGTGCACTTGAACAGGGAGTTCATTAGGAGTTGAGTAGTCCGATTCTAAAAGACCACTCACAGTGACACCGCCTAAAAAATAAATAACATTTTATATATCAAATATCTTGGAATAATTGAATTTCCATTTCACTGACTTTCACAAGTTATTCTCATCTTATCAATAAGACTGGGAAACATATTGTCCTGGGCAATGAATTTTTCTATCATGCGATCGACGATTTCCATTGACGGGTCGGCAAGCTTGAAAACATGCTGCGGTGGCTGAGGCTGATGTTGTAGCATCAACGGTTGTTGAGTTTGATTAGACCACTGGAATTGCTGCTGAGTTGTCTGAGTGGGCATTTGCTGCTGCTGGAAAGTAGATTGAAAAGCTGGCTGCGGCATCATCGACTGCTGCTGCTGAGTGAAGTCAAACTGTGGTTGGCCCATGCTGAACTGACCCTGGACCGGTTGAGGAGAGAGCCGGATGAAGTTCAAACCCCCTTGGTGGGGATCAAGTGGTGGCACTCGGTCGAAATTCATATTGTAGTTATTCTTCTGAAATCACAGCCCAAAATAATTTTAAATTATTTTTAAAAAATCAATATTAGTTTCAAAGAATGAAAACAGAGGAAATATTGGCTACAAAACAAATAAACAGAAAAGAAGGATTAATGCAAAAGCCTCTGTGAGTGTTGTCAATGACATGAATTTTACTTGAACGAGAGGTCAATAATGAAAAATGGGGAAGTTGAGATTGTCCATTAAAATAATAAAATAACAGAACTAAAATGTATATCAACCCTTTTTGTTACTTGTACACAAAACTAGGCTAAAAACATAAGCAAAATTAAAAATTTGGATTCAAAGATCTGGGCATTATTTTCCACACATGATGGAAATGTGTAATGTCTATTTATAAATGACTTTATAGGTAACAAAGCTAAAATATATATTCATATATGGTTCAAATTTGAATATATCAGTAATAAATAAATTACCAAACAGTTGAAACAAAGAGACTAGCAAAGGCCCCTACTTATTGAAAATTACAGAGCTACTCAGAAAAATCCCTAATTTGCCTACTAGCTCTTTACATAGAACCAAGATCCATCATTAAAGACACATCATCAAATGACTTTTTTTCTACAAGTAAACATAACAATTACAGTTCTTTAAAGATCAATTAACTGTGCCATTGAATTTTTATAGTTCCTCTGGACCAAACAGCGCTCTTTTATCATATTTTTATTGCACTTTTAGCATCAGTTGATCATAATGACTCTTGACCTTTGGCACTTTGATTTCACTTCAGTCACCAACCCCAATACAAAGATGGTGAAATTGAAAAAAGCATCAGACAGACCAAAACAACAGGGTAGGCAGAAGAAAACAAAATACCTCACAAGTATATTTCCAGCAATAGTAAAGTAGTCGCAGGTGATTATTATTATTAAATTAAATAAATATATTAAGCTTTAACAATCACATAACATCACTATTATGCCCCGTATGCCCTTGTGACAATTCCTTGGTGTGGTATCTTATTTAATTTTTTTGTAAACAATTCTTCAACATCTACATCCGCCTTTTTATGAAGAGTTCAATTGGTATCAGTAATAGCTTGGGGAATTGGTACATAACCTTAGACATTTATTTTGTACAACTTTTAATTAGTCGTTTTGCTGCCTCTGAGAAAAAAAAAGTTGTTTTTTGTTGTCACAAAGTAGTTTAAGACTGTTTTTGGTTTCTAAATATTTCGCCCTTACTACATTTGGGTTGGTTCTTCTAAAGAGGTTTAATAGAGAAAATACTTTCCATCTCAAAATGAAGCAGTGATAATCAAACCAGGGATTTTTTCTAAGCAGCAAGTGGGGGAAAGGAGGATTTAGAGGATAAGCAGACCTGATAAGTGCAAACAAGTGGTCCAGATATTTTTGGGCATTATTGGGAGAGGGAAAAGAATTTAGGTTATTTGACAAGAGGTCCAATTGTTAATGAAATGCTTAGCATAACTTTGACGCCATTTGAGAGATGGTAATAGTGGGGTTGATAGTTCAACTGGTACAGGAACCTTTGTTACAGTTTGGAAGGAAATTGGATAGAAAAGAGGAAGGACCCTAAAGTTGTCGATGAGAGAATAGCTTTTAAAAGACACACAACAAAGATCTATCACTGAGCACCCCGCCGCACTGATAAAAGTGAACTCGCCGTCTCCATCCGAGGGAACACGGCCGTTTAAAATTACCAAATCATCATCATCACAAAGCTCGACAACTCTCCTCCCATGGTTATTTGCAAGCTTATCCTTACTGCACCTAAGAAAGATAAAGTTGAAATTAGTTACAAGTTCCTCGGGGAACATTTGCAAATAGCTAATGCGCGCATTAAAGTTGCCTACAACAAAAAAATTTAGATCCAACAAAGAGACAACCACCTGAAGGACGAACAATTTTTTTTATTTTTTAAAGTGGGAATAAAATATAAAACATAATCATAAAATAATTGGATATAGTCATTCTACTTTTCTGAAGTGACAAAGGTTTCAAATAAAACAAAAACATCGTTTTCCTTAAAAAAAAAACATAAAAATAAAGGGTCGATAATTTTAGACTTTATACCATTTACATTTAAAGATACAAAACTAAAATAGGTTTTACTTTTATTGCTGACTTGACGGCAGATGGTTTGTTTTCAGAAGGTCTTGGAGTGTCTCTTGGTGTCCGGTTGCACGATGAATGTCCTGATGGTAGTGGAACTTGAAAGAAAGGTTTCTCCGGATCGGGGGATGAGAGCAAAGTTCTGTGATGGCATCCGAAAAGTCATTTTTAGTGATACCCTTCAGCTTGTCTACTCCACTTTGGTTACCAAAAAGAAGTCCCTTTTCAGTGCACCATTTAAATTTGATGTAACAACCATGAAGTCTGTCCGAACCGTTACTCTGAGGGACTTGTTATGACACCATAAGAGACGACGAATCGCTAGAAGTTTCTATCTTTTTCATCTTAAATCTTTTGGTAAATCGTCTTGAATAGAATAGCCTGTGTTTTGAAGTTTTTTTGCGTTTTTAATAACATTTATTTTGCCACGGAAGTAATCAAAGACGATTAAGACAGGGATGTTATAGGACTGACCATTCTTACCCAGAGCGTGCGCATGCAGAGTTTTTTCTTCCAATTCCAATCCTAGGACTTTTTGGAGAAACTCGCACACTAATTTACTAGTATCCACATCTTTTGGGAGGTCAAGGCCTTTAAGTGTAAGATTGTTGCGATGAGACTTTAAATCCAGCTGTTCCAGATAAAGGTCATGATGATGTGCAGCTTTTTTATGTTCGATTTTCTTTTTTAGTTAGGAGTTTGCTTTTAGATCTTCAAAATTTTGGTGTAAAGGATTGATGTCCTCTTTTGTCGCCAGACATTTTAACTTATCGAAGAATTGGCTCATCACATCTGACATCGTCATCAATTCCGACCCAGTCATTTGACCAATTTCCTGATTGTGAGATGTCGATTGCTGCTTTAACGATGACATTCGACTTATATCAGGGGTGGCTCATTCCAAAACTTTTAGATTTTGCTCTGGAGAAGTTCGATCCCTCTTGTTAGACTGGTGTTTGATTAGGTGTTGCCGGGGTTTTAGAAAAATAGCTGTCGATTTTGGGCGACATAAACAACAGCTATGAAGTCCCCAGGCCTGGTTGTTGACACAAGGTGACAGAAGCAGAGAGAGCGACAGCACGTAAGATACACACCTGATAAGGAGATGGTACAAGGTCATCTCTCATCAATAAACTTGTTACCGAATTAATACTTGAGACTGATAACACATCGGGCGCAGTCCCTTTGAGAGAGAAGATTGCTTTCTTTTCCGGGGTTTACGGCAAAGATAGAGCGAGAAATTAAGCCAAAAAACCAGATTCAGACACAGAGCACTCATTTACACGATGTACAACTTTTAAAGACAAAACTGCGTCAATTTCTGCCAAAAAAATTAAAAAGCTTGTAAGGCACGAGAAAACACGTCTGCATTCTACCATGCCTTAATGGCGACCTTTATTTTATTTAATTATTAACAACTTATTTCATAGTTAGAGTTTTTTCTTTTTTCCCTAAAAACTAAATTAATAGTAATTATTATGCCAATGTTGTTATATTAAATGTATACAATGAAAGAAAAAGAAAACATGATTTATACAAACTATCATTTTTATCCCTACAAAACTGATTAAGGGTACTTGCAGCATATAGCACATTACATTCGACAACTTCGGACATCTATATTAAATGTGTATGTGGAATTAGTATTTATTATTTACCGTAACCACAAAATTATACATTGAAAAATATGTATTATTTAAAGACAAATGAATACACAGAATTTAAAATTAAAAAAACTGGTAAACAGTGATCTGGCTACTTTAATATAAAGCCAATGGTATATGAAATACAGTTCTCAGTTTCTAAATCTAACATAACACTCCTCTTTCGATTGATTGAGCATTATCTCAGGAGAGAGGACACACTAGCATGCCGAGGAAGCATCACCTGTCTATTTTTCCACACCTGAGTTCTGTAACAAGAATCATAAAATTCATCTCGTCTTTTGACACCCTCATCCTTTGCTGCGGATATTATGGGTTATCTAAAGGAACCATTCTAAAGGTGATGTTTGTCACAGGAATGTGTTGTCTTCACATAATTATACTTGTGTGGTGGTGGAGAGCATCGAATTTAATCTTACTGATGATGTTGCCTTTGAGAACTTAATTTCATTGTGTACATTGTCATTAGTTTTTAATAATCTGGTGATTGAAAATCCACCTGTCGCCATTTAAATTTTCTTTATTATTTTCTAATTTTTTTTTTAAATTCCTTTTAATAATTTAATTTTTAATTTGTATTTAACTTTCAAAACTTCAAATCAGACAGATTCACCGGAACAAGGCCTATGGTAAATAATATTACAGAGAGCTCATTTATTTAATTTCTCTACACTCCTCACCTGCAATGCAACACAGCCCTCAGTTCAAATCACTGAATTCTTTAATTCCCCTCACTGCCTCCCAATCACATCCATCCTCCGAAGTTAAATACCAAGTTTTCCGCCTCATTTAATATCATAAAATTCCATGTTGTGATTCAAACCTAGAACTGCTAGCATTGCAAGTCGGACGGTTTAACCGTCAGTTACCGCAGTACTTCAGCCATTATACACCATTAATTCCAACACAAGTTATCAAATAACCCACAGAAAATAAGATAAGATTTAACTCGTACAGATGCAAATTTAATTTTTGTCGGAGACATGTCCAACCTTAAGGATGGCAAGATATTTAAAAAAAGATTATAAAAAAAGACAAGCATTCACCATGGCTCACAGAGATTATCTATAGACCAAGACCAAAACGTCCACACTATGAAATGTTGCACGAATGTCCCATTTCAAACAAGTCAAAAGTTCTGTGATTTTGTTTCAAAAGCTTGATTATAGACGTGCATTTGTCTCTTAATGACTACATACAAGCGATCGGTTGTTTTTAGACATTGTCTAAATACGAAAACCGCTTGACTTTGTATGCAAGTATGAACAAGGCCTTAGTGAAACTTATGCAGAATATGAGGTATCCAGTGATAACATTCCTAGTCGTTCCATCGAGAGGTAAATTCTGTTCTAACGGTATCTTCTAGACATTCGTGTAATTAATTGATTTTAAATTTACCCTGTCAACAAAGTAAAACTAAGTTTTATTTGGCTACACAAAAACTTATGGTAAAAGTGAAAAACAGAGTTGTGAGGACTTTTAGGACTACAGACAAGTTGAGCATTGGCCGTAGAATTAACTAAAGGATAAGATTTCCTATTTAAATCGGTGAAAAACGACAAAAAATAATAAAATGTTTATATGCATGTGCTTACCAAAGAAGGTTATTTATCCTTAAAAACCACCGTCGTGAGGTTCGTTTGTAAAAAGACTGCCAAAACGAATCTGCAATCCTCCGGCTTACACATCTGAAGTTTCCCCGAAGACTTCAAAGCTCGAGCTTATTCTGCAATGTTAATGTTAAACCTCAAAAAACCCGGCGTATCATCCTTGAGGTTGCATGAATCCGGGCTGGAACCGTTCGGCTTGGGTGTCGGGACGCGCCAACGGCTCATAACCCGGTATGCGATAGGTCGTCGTTTTAAATACCGATTGAACTTGATTTTAAAAAAAAAAGGCAAAGTGTACAAATTGAACGGGATTTTTCCAGACTTTATTTTTAAATTGCTTGCCGCAGTTGTATTAGAAACTATAAAATTCAATTTGTCTTGTTTCCCTTGCGATACATAGAACATAGGGTCTGCAAAGGAGATAGACATCGATATTCGGTTCCTTACGAGGCGAGATAATTTCGACAAACCCTAGTTCAGCAGGTTTGTATAAAGTTATTAATTAATGGGCAATTTGCCTATTTTGTTCTATCCTAATTGCGACACATTTAAATATAAATAGTTTTATGTAAATATAAAGGGCAAATTTTAATTCACATAGGTATCATCGATTCTGATCATTTGTTCTTAAGTGGTATCAGGGTGGAGGCCAATGATTCTGGTTATGACTTTTCGAAAAATTTATTTATGGACATATTTAGGCTGATAGCCTAATTTACATAGATAAACTATAAAATTACACATAAAATAATTAAAATATTAGAAAATATAAAACATATATACGTACATAATATTACATAAAATATATACAGGGAGCAAATTAATTTACAATGTCACACCAGACTGCATCTCACGATCTCCGAATAATCATTAACTAACAGTCACTAAACACCACACATTAATTTACAATATTATTAAATTTTTTTAATATTTTAAATTATTTTTTATTTAGTTTTTAATTATTTTTTTAAATATGTAATGCTAGCATTAAATAAATGTAAATTTGGTATATTTATTGTTTGCTAGAATATTATTAATGGGAGAGTGGAACTAGTAGTTAGTGGACGGTAAGGGAATTTAATAATGGTAAATTACAAGTTTTGTATTTAGGGACACTGAATCTTATATAGGAAAGTAGTGCAGGACTGTAGATCAAGAGCGTATGCAGGATCCTTGTTGAGGGAAGGTATGAACAACATTTAGAACAATTTCTCTGTCCTACACTTTTTAATAGAAAATATTCAAAATGAAATATAATAATAGACCAAACAATTTTTTTTCTTGAAATATAATACTAAGCCAGTCTTAATGAAAATGAAACAATTATGTGTTTCTTGGGAACTTTTAAGTATTTTTCGATAAATGGTTACACAATGTTATTTACAAAACCGTCCATATATAACAAACTAAACTACAATCATAATCGGGTTCAGATTATTTGGAAAAACTCCCAATGTCTTACATACAATAAAAGAAAAGAAAAAATTACATAAGGTGTACGTTTTGCAAGTTAAGGTCGTTACATATGAAGAGAGCATTAGTTGACATGGATTTATTGAAAATTTGTTGACAACTGCTGGCTCGATTTCTCCATTCTTGTCAGAAACCAATCTCCTTGTGTTCCTGTTTCAACACTCAAAAGGCAGTCTGATCAACCTGGATTCCGTAATCGTCGATCCTGTCCATGTTTTAACTCATCTCAAGGTGCTGAAGGATCTCTCAATTGTGCTCATAAAACAAGGCTGAGCTATTGAGATGAGTAAAGGTTTTTTTTTTTTTTATTGATGGGAAGAAGGAGAACCGTCTTTAATAACTTATACCATTTCCAACTTTTTTGACTTGCACTTCATTGTTAATCTTCTTTTCCTTACATTTAGAGTTCATCCTCAGATTGAAGCTCCCTCAACTCATAAAAATCATTGAACTTTGTGATTTTTTCTTCTAACTCCATAAATGAAAACTTGAGCATCAGATACGGACGCAGAAATAAACGAGAGAAAACTGGAGTGTTATCCTCAGCGAATCTGCTCTCCAAGGAAAATAAAAATGAGTTGAGATAAGGGTAAAGAATAGCGCCAATCCAATACTCTTCATTGGTGACAGTAGGAGGATTAGAGGCGATATTTTTGGTGTTCTACCATCTAGGTTGGCTGAAAGTCAACCATGAAGTTTTCAGCTTTATATATTTGTTACTAAAGTGTAAATTTCTTTCATTGTAGCAGGACTTTCTTTCCTATGGTGTTTTATAAGAGACAGAATTTTTTGGATATGGTGCGAGCATTAAAGGTGACTACCTACTGTAGTTCTTTTTATCCTGTTTATTTGTTTGTACAGTTTTAGGGAGTAAGGGCCATGGAGAATTTTGAAATGTTAATCAATTAGAAGAAAATGATATGTTTTATGAACCCATATTGCTCAGGAATAATGACTCTAGAGACAAGATGATAAATCTTGTCATAAATAATTGTCGCAAATAATTTAAATAATGGACACTTAGTGGTTATAGGTTTATAATTTACCAAATATACCATTTTTAAATCTAGGTTTACCAACAATTGTTTTCAAGACTTCTAGAATACAACCTAAACTTAACGATTTATTGAATATAATTTATAACCACATATAACGAATATTATATGCACTTGATTAACTAGATTAACTACACAACACTTGGGCACACATCCAGGGGGGAAGTAGGTTTAATATGACATTGTCTCTTAAAAATATCAATTTATTTTTAAAATGAAATGCTTAAACATTTCTGATTTAATTCCAATACTAAATAATATTCTCATTGCACTATTAACAGTTTAAATGCAATTTGTTTTTAGTCTTTTTCTTCTTTGTTGTTGTCCTCAGTTTTTTTCTTTTTATCGATCGTTTAATTCTTCTTATTTAAGGCCTTTTATTGAAGGTCATTAAAGAAATTTTCTACGCATGATATTTCAGCATCCTATGCCATTTTAAAGTAGTTTACTTTTTTTGTTATTATAATAAAAAACCATAACTAGATAACCAAAACCGTAAAATAATAACTAAAGAAATAAACTACTTGAAAATGACACATGCTGGCGAAATGCTGTAGATTGAAAATTTCTTTTAACCAACAAAAATTAATCTATCAATAAATCAGTTTAGCTAAAATACAGATCAATTTTTAATCACTCAAGTATCATTGATTATAGTTATTTAATTTTATGTGGTGTCAGGGTTGTGGTCAATGATTCTAGACATGATTGTCTGAGGAACTGTTTGAACATTTGTGATTTAACATCAGAACTAAATAATATTTTAATTTTAACACTTTTAACATTTTAAAAATAATGAATTTTATTTAAAATACAGATCACTGTACATACAATCACTACAGATTCACTCAGGTGTCATTGATTCTGGTCATTTGTTGTTGGGTGATATCAGGGTTGTGGCCAATGATTCTGATTAAGACTATTTGAGAAATTTATTTGTTTACATATATGTAATTAAAATACATTTAATATTTTTGTTTAGTTTGAAGATGATGGGTTCATCTACTTCGAAGGCCTGTTGTAGGAGGAATGTTGGACATGAGGCATTCTGACTTCCTAAAAGAGTAAGTAATTAAATTGTATTATTATTATTTTTTTAGAAACATAATAATGAAAAATTTCTCCTTTGAAATTATTTTATTTTTTAAATTAAATTACAACTATTAGTTTTATCGATTAAGCCTTTTTATCGATATAGTTGTTATTGCTCTGGTTAGGTCATTTTTGGATCTGATTCTTCTGTTTATATTTTTTTTTCTACTATATCTAATAACCGATTTGTGATACGGCATCCTGTTGGATTAATTAAGAATTCCTCTCACCTATATTTTAAATGTAAAGGTAAGTTAAGTAACACTTTTAACGTTATTATTTATTATTATATTGTTAACATTTAAACGGTTACATATTAGAAAGGTTATGCCTGTACCGCATGGTTTGTTGCCGTTTAGGAGATATGATATTAAATTATTCTTAATAGGGCTGTAAATTAGTTACAGTTAGTTTAATTAATTAATAAACATGAAGTTGCTCGTTGACGGGCTCCCGGTGTACTTCCCGTACGAGTACATTTACCCGGAACAATTCGCGTACATGTCCGAGCTGAAAAAGGCTCTCGACGCGAAGGGCCATTGTCTTCTCGAGATGCCTTCGGGTACTGGCAAGACGACAACGCTTTTGTCGCTCATAGTCGCGTACATGGTCGAGTACCCGCACGACTTGGCAAAATTGGTCTACTGTTCACGGACGATACCGGAGATCGAAAAAGTGATCGAGGAGCTTCGAAAATTGTTCGCCTACTACGAGCAGAACGGGAAAACTCTTTCATTCCTGGGCGTCGTGCTCAGTTCGAGGAAGAACCTCTGCATCCACCCCCAGGTCAGTAAAGAGAGAGAAGGGAAGATCGTGGATGGAAGGTGCCACAGTCTGACGGCGTCTTACGTTCGGGAGCGTCACGCAGCCGACAGCAACGTACCGGTCTGCTCTTATTACGAACGATTCGACGAATCCGGAAGAGAGTTCACCCTGGCACCGGGCGTTTACAGCTTAGACGATCTCAAAGAGTACGGAAAGAGGTTCAACTACTGCCCTTACTTCCTGACTAGAGAAGCCGTCAAATATGCCAACATCGTCGTGTACAGCTATCACTACCTTCTCGATCCCAAAATCGCCGAGGCCGTCTCCAAAGAGTTCACATCTTCTTCCGTCGTCGTCTTCGATGAAGCGCACAATATAGACAACGTTTGCATAGATTCGATGAGTGTCAAGGTCAATCGAAAGCTCATAGACAGGAGTTCGGTGAACATTCAGACACTTGAAAGCACGATAAGCAAGCTTAAAATGACAAACACGAATAAACTACAAGAAGAATATATGAAATTGGTCAAGGGTTTGAAGGAAGCACACCGGGCCAGAGAGACAGATGTCATCTTGATGAACCCCGTCCTGCCTGATCAGATTTTAAACGAGGCCATACCTGGGAATATAAGGACTGCAGATCATTTTGTAAGATTTCTCAAACGGTTTTTGGAATATATTAAAACCCGCTTGAGGGTCCAGCATGTCGTACATGAATCTCCAGCAGCTTTCTTGAAAGACGTTTCCTCAAAAGTTTGTATAGAAAGAAAACCGCTTCGCTTCTGTGCTGAAAGGCTTGCTTCTCTCTTAAGAACTCTAGAAATAGCAGATCAGACTGATTTCTCACCACTTGTACTTATCACACATCTCGCAACTCTTGTTGCTACTTATACCAAAGGATTTACTATTATAATCGAACCATTCGAGGACAATAAACCTACCGTTTCAAATCCAATACTGCACTTCAGTTGCCTCGATGCTTCAATTGCTGTCAAACCAATTTTTGAACGTTTTCAAACAGTAGTTATCACATCTGGTACATTGTCTCCTTTAGATATGTACCCTAAAATTTTAGACTTTCACCCAGTTGTTCTTTCGTCTTTTACGATGACTTTAACAAGGCCTTGTTTGTTGCCGATGATAGTTGCAAAGGGGAGCGATCAAGTGGCCATGACCTCTAGGTATGAATCAAGAGAAGATGTAGCCGTGGTGAGAAATTATGGTCAGTTACTCGTTGAAGTTTGTACAGTCGTGCCTGATGGAGTTGTCTGTTTTTTTACTTCTTATCTTTACCTTGAATCAGTCGTAGCTAGCTGGTATGACCAAGGCATCATAGACAATTTACTCAGAAAAAAGCTATTGTTTATTGAGACGCAAGATTCAGCGGAAACAAGCCTGGCGTTATTTAATTATATTAAAGCTTGCGAAAGTGGAAGAGGTGCTGTGTTACTCTCAGTTGCGAGAGGAAAGGTCTCTGAAGGTGTTGATTTTGACCACCATTTAGGAAGGGCCGTGCTCATGTTCGGTATACCGTACGTTTATACACAGTCGAGGATTTTGAGAGCGAGGCTCGATTACCTGAGGGATCAGTTCCAGATACGAGAGAATGATTTTCTCACGTTTGACGCAATGAGACATGCTGCCCAATGTGTAGGGCGGGCCATCAGAGGCAAAACTGACTACGGTATTATGATATTTGCGGATAAACGTTTTGGAAGAATTGATAAAAGGAGCAAATTGCCAAAGTGGATACAGGAGCACCTTAACGATTCCTACACGAATCTTTCAACTGAAGAGGCTATCCAGATTTGCAAAAAATGGCTGCGTCAAATGGCTCAGCCTTTTAGCCGGGAAGATCAACTTGGCACGGCATTATTAACCTTAGAACAGCTTGAAGCTAAAAAAGACATTCAAGAATCTGTAACCCAAAGATAAAAAGTTTGTAATTCACTTTGTACATAGCTTGAATTTTATAATACATAATTCTTGTATTTTTGTATATATGTATGTTTTGTTATATCGATAATTAAAATATTATATATATATTGAATTTCTTCTTATTTTTTGAAAGAGGATACCTTTTAATAGGAATTAATTGTTATGCTGGTCTAGAACCATCCAGTTGTCTTTGGGAATATGAAACTGTCTTAGCTGAAGTACTAACCCCATGACTGAAATGGCAAGAAGCTGAAATGCATCTGATAGACCAAAACAGCAAGGATAAGCAGACCAAATTGAAAATCGTCATCTAGGTTGTCTAAATAAAATATAATTGGACATAAAATAATAAATCTCCCACACTTTTTGTTTACCCAGGTCAATGGAAAATAATGCTCGGTGCAAAACACTTGTCTGGTTTATTTTGAGAGAGACATTTCAACAATATGTTAATAGGCTTTGATGCTTCAGTGCGGCTTATAGGCACTAAGTACCAGTCGAGTTATCAGTTAACTAGGCACTTTTGCCAAGTGAGACACCGGTGTGGCCTAGCCTAAACCTTCCAAATCAACATGCTCTTGCTTGCTTTATAACTTACAATTGTTGTAATGTCATTATTCCATGAGTAGAGCCGACTGTTCAGCTCTTTAAATTGATGCTACTGCCATCTTACAGTTCTTAGCCTCAACCAGGGGTTTATTGGGAAGATTCCTCTTCCTTTTCTTCAAGATCAAAGTTTTTCATTCTGCTACGTACACCTCATCCACAGGTACAGGCCATCTGCAATCATTGCAGCTCAGCCTTCGGAATGAACCTGGATCTAGTCTTGCTGTTATCAGCAGTTTGGCCTATCCAGCAGTTTAAATTAATAGCACTACAACTGTGGTTATTATGAACATACTCTGATCACTCATCAGTGTTTTGCTCACTGGTGTCAAACACCTTATGTTCTCTAGCTTGTCTGCCTTTTGGTTTTCCGAATTTCCTCTGTTTACTGATCTAGGGCAAGTCCTATCATTTTTTTCCTTCAGAATACTCCAAATCTTTTGAATAAACTCGAGTGTTGTAGTATTAATCCAGTAGTCTTCAATAGTATATGATGTTTTCTGTCAGTTTTGTTGTACTGCTGAGATTGTTTATGTGATAAGTTGTGAATTGTAGTAGCAGAACAGAAACTGTCCATCTAAGAAACTCGGTTAGGAAATAACAATAAAGCTATAATTTTAAACTTTTTTTAAAATATAGATTTAATCTTTATTTACATTAGGAGACATTTTCTACTATATTTACTAATTTGTATAAAAAGTTTATTGTAAAAAAATAATAATAATTAAAAATCCTAACAAATAACAATTCAGTCTGATAAGTACACAGAGTCGCCAACAGCAATGTTACCGGCTTTGTAAAGGCTTGCGTATACACCCATAAAAGGCGTCGTTCCCACAACTTTTTTTTGTTTTTCCTCTGTTGCCACCCTGTAACTAAATTGACAAAAAGTATACTTTTTTTTAAGGGTGATTATTATTTAAATACTTACGTTTTTAATGTTTTTATTGGTTCCAAGTTTTTATCTTTAATCTTTGTTTCTGGGTTGATTGTTGTAAAGCTACACCTAGAACATTAGAATTTAATTAAGATTAAATGTCTTTTACAATTTGTATTGCTAAAACACACACACATACAAACACATCTATTTTTTTGAAATCGTATTTCAGTTAAATATTAAGTGGAATTTTAGCCAAACCTTGTACATGGGCAGAACACTCTGAAAACAGCATTTTCTCCTATTTTCAACCATTTCCATTTGTCCTCATCAAATGCCTCAGGCCCAGAAATGTGTATGTTAGGTCGAAAGTTCTTGTGAGAGACCAAAGTTGAGCCGGGTGGAAGCTTAGAGTTGATATCCACAACCGAAGATTCGTTTATGATAAGGAAACTGCTCAGGTCAGAGTACGTCCCCTAAAGATTTGAAAACATCAATTATGCTAATAGACACATTAAATGATTTAAATTTAAAATAATTACTGAATATTCATTTTCAATGTTGAACAAATCAGTTCTCTCCTTGTGGAACTTTTTAACATTCCTCCTGGTCAATATCGAATCAGGCCAGTAGCCGATTCTCAACGGTTTCTCCTTAAAAGGGATAAAAATAAAGTTAATGTTTAATATTAATTAGTTGGTAGATTTTGTTTTTACTGACAACTCCGAGCAATTTTGTGATCCATTTTGACGCTTCATCCCCACAGTCAACGGTTGGTATTTCCTCGTCATTCCACATTCTGAAATATTTCAAAGTAGAATGCTCCCATTTTAAAATCAGGGGTAAGTTTAATTACTTCACTTCTTCATTTTTGAATTCTGTAGGAACTTTGATTTTCAACGGCTCTATCCCTTCGCAGCTGAACTCAACCATATCAGGCGACACAGAGTTGATGGTAATGCCGATGAGATTGTGGTACGTCCTTCCTGTGATGAATTGATTCGTGTCTTCTCTGAATGCCACAAATCCCCTGGAAATATTTAAAATAAATAATATATTTTGAATATAAATACAAAAGTGTCACAGCTTCACCTGTCACGCAAAGACAGGAAGCCATCGTTTCTGATCTCCCTCAGCCCTTTTTCTGTGGTTTCAGCTTCGGACAAAAGCTTGTATCTTGAACTCTTCATCGGATAAATGTAGAGGTTGGAAATTGTGCCAATTCTTTTCCAATCCCCTTTTGGGCGTTCGACAAGCCTCGACTTTACCCATTTGTACACTACTAACGCGCTAATGGAAGTTGAGACCAGAACTGTCAGCGCCAGTGATATGTTGTCAGTCATGTGTAATTATCTGAAACATGTAATATGATTTGTCTTTTAAACGATTGTACGCTCACTGATTTTTCCCCTCAAAATTTTACTGAAATTTGTAAACAACTAGTGTTCCCATTGATTTACCTTTTGATAAACTCAACAGACTATGTTCTGGGAAATAAATTATAAAAATAATGAAAAAGTCAATTAAAGAAAAAAGAAATATGTAATATAAAAAGGACTAATTTCATCACAAATGAACAGCTGTTGTAATAGTTTTAATTTTTTTTAATCAATAAAATTTATTGTTAATTATTGTTTAGGTAAATTCAAAAAGCTTTATTACTGAGGTAAAGCTTCTTTATTTATGAGGTGCCTTCCACTCACCTTATGAGCATCATCAGCCTTTGTTAAAACAAAATAGAATAGAAATAACACAAAAACGAACTGTTCTGTTTAACAAAGGCTGATGTATGGCATCTTCCATAAATAAAACACTAAAGACTTAAAGAATAATTTATAATGAGCTTCCATTGCAAAGAAGTGCAAACTTGAAAAGAAATAGTAAAAATTATCGTACTACATCTACATGTACCTATTGTATAAACAATTTTGATAATTATATACTATATTTGGAAATAACAATATAATATATAGTAATTATATTGAATGTAAAGTTGGTTACTGCCCAACAGTAGTTGTTCAAACAAGACTTAACAAAAATTAATTATTTGTTTGTTGCTAAGTATGTAAAAAAACTTAAGCTATTTCGTTTTGTTTGACCTTTCCAAAGTATTAAATAAATTTACTATCTTATACTTATATCACTTATTACTGATACTTGTTACTAAGAAGTCACACCCCACCTTCATTATTTATATTAAATAGATTTTCCTCTATAATAATTAATTTTGATTATTAAAAATGTCAGCTATGTCATTTGTGACACTGGTGTAGTTAAATAAAAATTGGAAAATACACCACTTGTGCAGGAGACGACGTATAAAATTAACGTTAATTTGCATTGTAAACAACTTTTTTCAATGTTATTCCGATCAAATTATTGCTTGAATGAACCAGCGAAAAAATGAAAGTGTAGACGCACTGAACTCAGTAATCCTTTTGTTTGTATTCCAGTTTTTTTTTTTTTTTTCTGTTTCTAAACATATATTATCATTGTAGGGTTTATCTGTATTTATTGACCGCAATAGCAGATCTGAACGATCTAACCTACATTTTTAGACAAATATCCCGCGTCCCAATTGTGGTAAAAAAAGGTAATTCGAATTTCTGGGCCGCCTTTACTCGCTCGTTTTTGGGAGGCCATTGGAAAAGCGGCCAAGCAACAGCGAGAAAAGACGAACAGGAACTTAAAAATCAGATAAAATTGTCCAATATGTGCTTAATTTAATATTACGTTATCGTACTGCGAAAAATGATATTTTTTGTCATAAAACAACAAACAAAACCAATGAAATATAATTCACAACTGTAATAAATTTACATTAAGTAGCTATTTGAAATGTATATAACATGAATGTCATGAACATGAGGAGTCATCACATACTAGTGATGCTCAAATATTCTTACTGCCCGTTTTTGTAACTAAAACAAGAATTCTCGTGGCCAATTCCTTTTTCTTCGATGTGTGTTATTAAAGAATGGAGGATGCAAGTTGGGTAACTAACAACTAAAGGTGGTAATTTAAGGTATCAGGTTTTTGCCATATCATGGATGAAAGGAATGTTGAGGTCGTGTGGATGGTGAGATTGAATTTGTAAAAAGGAGCATCGTCTATTTTTCGGAGTATCATGCATTGTTTAAGGCTCAAACACACAGAACGCGTTACTACGCGACGTTCGGCGTTACTGTAACGTCGCGTTACGGCGATACAGTTGTATTGCATTGCATTGCATCATCCCGGCCACACAATTGGCGTTATCACTCAGCGCTACCTTTCGGAACGCGACGTTAACTTTTCGGGTTGTACAAAATTACAAAAGTAACGCGCGTTACCGGCGTTATTGGTGACTCTTTTTTCTCGAAAACATGGGTGACGATACAGAGAAACTCATTGAACAAGTGAGAAAGTACCAAAGTAGCAGTAGATCGTGCAGTTCTTCAAAATTTTGTTTTGACATTCGAAAATAATCAAAAAAGCGATCTTCATGAGAGCGCAGCTCCCTGCACAGACGGTGGTATTCACCCAGGTCTTCCCCTCCTTCTATTTACTGGGTGAACCCAATACCGCCTCCTCCTATCACTTTCAATTAAAGCAAGAAGAACCAAAGCTTCCTCCTCCTCAGAACTACTCATGATTGCTGTACAAACTCAACCACAGTACTGGATCGCCCGCCCAGATAACGCTGCGTGTGTGATATAGCCAATATCGCCGAACGCCGCGTTACGGGGCGTTCCAGTAGCGTCGCGTAGCAACGCGTTCTGTGTGTTTGAGCCTTTTAGGGATGAATTTGTATTCTACTATTGGAGCGTTCAGTTTAAACACAAAGTTCAAGTCTGTAAGTCCAGAATATTATTTCGTTAGTCAATGATAATGTAGACCGCCGGTCAAGTGGTCTGGTTAGGCCAGTCTTTTTTTGACTAATCTAGGGCATCCATATCAGTTGCCTGGGCAGAAATAGTTCAATGTAACATACAATATCGTTATTTGTTTAATGGAACACCACTTTGCGATGGAACATCATTACATATTATTAGAATGCGCCGGTTACGACCATTTCAATGGTGATATTTTTTAAAAGAACAGTTTGTTCTCGTGGTTTTTCTATTGTTTTGTTTAAATAAGGCGGAGATGCTCACAAGAAACCAAAAGCGTTTTTGAATTTACCTAAACAAAAATTATATAAAGTATCGTCGAAGGGAAGAACGATGTTGAACATGCAGAGTTAGGTAGCGTGATTAGACGAAGTGTAAAAGTTAAATACTTTCTTTTGGTCTCATTTATTTATAACAGACTTCCAGCAAGTTGAATTTTCTTGTGGGAGATGTTAGGATTAGAATTGGAGGAAAAGATGCAAATATAACGTATATATTGGGAAGATGAGAGGTCGTAGAATACAACCTTGGGAGACACCAGCGGTAACCGTGAAGATAGGAGAGAGTGCTTGACCCTGGCAAACCCCAAAATATCTGTTGGAAAAATTCGATTTGAAGATGAGATAGTAATTAGGTGTTTGGAAGGGTGCCCTCGTGCTTAAAATCTTTAAAGTAGATTGTTAAGTTTATCGAGACTAGTTTAAAAACAAAATTCTATCTTTTAACAACTAATGTAAGTACTTTACATAGGCTACAATAATATATGGTTACATTATTACCATCCAGGGTGATAATAATTCGTACCTTACCTTGAAAAGTAAAAGACGAACTTTAAATAGGTGGTGGATATAAAACTGGTAAAAAATAAAATAAGACAAACACATGAAAAAACATACGGCGTCATGTTTTTGCGCGTGTGCGAAACTAGTGATAGCATGCCTTTGGAGGCCGCTTTCACTAAATGGGGCCCCATATAGATCCGGAAGGTCTGTCAGTTACTCCTGGGCAGTTGAATTTATGGGATCATACATGTTCCGACCGGTTTGTCAATTCAAACGACCAACCTGTCAGTTCAAATAACCGACGGCCGAATTGAATTCCTAACCTCCTCCTTCATCCTTCAGTTAGGGTGATGCACCCAAATGGGACATGGACAGTCGTTGAAGGCCGATTCCATTTGCCACTAACACACTGGCGTATAGGCGTGAGATTTCCTCCTGTGATTTGTGGGATGATGAATGTGTAATTTTATAATCAATTTAACTCCGGTTGGTCCGTCAGATGCGTACTGGCTTCCACCATTTTCAATGTGTGTCAGGTTGTAAGCTGGGTGAGATACTGACACAAACCCATCTCTGAAGATACAAAATGATGAAACGTTTTGAAAATGATTTTGGTGTTTTAGTGATTTTTTTTTTAATGTTTGCTGTTGTTAAAAATACAAATGTAGTTACTTATAATCCGTAAAGTTACCATGAGGGTTTTTTTTTTTTTTTTTTTTTTATATAACTTTCCTTTAAGGAAAGCTAACTTATGGCCTTACGTTAATCATATTAGCCAATGATTGTAATTATGGATAATTTTATTTAAGAAAAAACGTTCTCTTATTTTTATGTCTGTTATATTATGATTTTATTGCGGTAAATGTATTTAATTAAGGGTTCAATTATATCAGATCTGTGGGAGTAACATAGGAGATTGGACACTGTGATGGGAAGAGGTATGCCGGCCATAATCAGCGATCTGTAAAATACCATGAGGGTTCCTGGCACGCGATAGCCCCATACCAAAAATGTTTAAAAATAAAATAAAAATACTTCTGGTTGTCAGAATTATGTGCTCCTAGTGTTTACATGTTCAGGAAGAATTGCATTTTTTTATATAATCGAAAACAAAAAATTGATTTTTATGTCCGTTCATGTGCTCTTCTTAAAGCGTGTATATTTGTAATCATCGTTTTACTTGGGGAGATAATAATTACATAGAAAGCTAGACCTGTTTTTAATTAAAGGTAAAGAAAATAATGAGAGAGGGGGTTAGAAATAGATTATTAATACAGGCGCGGCCTGAAAAAAAGTACCTACAGGTACGAACGTAACCCTCCATTCCACATCCCTATCTAGATCGTGTTTGTATATTATAAATAAAATTTTGAATTTGAAAACGAATAAGCTTATTTTTATAATAATTTTTGACGGTTTTATTTATGATAGAAACTAATGTTTATTTTCAGTTTTCGCATGGTCTTCATCAATATTTTTGGTTTTTTAATCAGAAAATCGCCGGATAAACAAAATCACTGGCGTTATACGAACGGAAAATTATTCTTTTGTATAGGCCAGCTTGTTTACTAAGATTATAGATTCAGTGACTAGAATAATCTGGATTATCAGATAATAAATTGTTTTGAGTCGATAATTTTTCCATTTAGTTACAATGCATGCACGTTATTTATTTTTACGTCAATTACTTGTTTCTTAATTACACATTTTTACTCGCTCAGAGCAGACATGTGACAATGAATTTTATTGTTTTATTATTTCGTTAACGTTTCTTGCTTTTCACTCTGACGCTTTAATGATTTCAACTTTAAATTACTTAACAAATAAAGAGTAAATAACTTTAAAATTAAATTGGAATTATTATTTAAAAAAAAAAAAGTTTAAAACGATGTTACGGTTGGGAAGAAGCCGTTACCATGTGGTTCAATGAGGTATTTAAGGCACCACTTGTAAGTCTTTAAGATAAGATAAAGCACAAACGACTTACTTAAAAAAATATTACTTATAAAATTATATTACTAAAATAATATACTAAATTATATTACTTATAAAAATTGAAAACGATTTCTATTTCGTTTAAAATATAGCCTTTAAATCTATTAGTACAATCATGGGACTCACGGATCACGTGAAGATGTCGCTTCAATGGCCGGGGGTCTCCTACTGCCGTAATAGCAGCCTAACTATTGACTAGACGGGTTTGGCAATCTTTGTGCCGCCTGCGCCGGTACCAACTCCCCGGGCTTTGCTTTTAATTTTACGTTGAGGTACGCCTTTCAAGGCTTCCTCTTGAGCTTTGATAAATTTTTCTTTTTTTATTGTGTGTTTTATATTATTGTTTTTAACCCCCTGAGCGTGTAGATAATACGGTCGAAAATCAAATGAGTCTCCCTATTATATATATGTACAAAACCTGGCTTTGTCCAGGGGGATAATAAAAAGTGTTATTTAACACATTATTTTGAGTATACATACTGCTATTGCTAGATAGGAGCATAAATATAAAATTAAATGAACACAATTGAATGTTTCGTATCAATGTTTGTTTTCATATTAGATATTCACATATGCTATATTATTATTATTATTTTTAATAATTTGTAAATAAGTCAAGAATGAGGTAATTTAGAAAGACACCTTTTTCATTTTTTCCCCAATATTTCGACCTTTATTCGGGTCATCTTCAGGGACTGGGTAAATTACAGAACATGTTGACTGGAAAAAATAGACTTAAAGATGTGAATATAAATTTTGAACCAAGTATTTCATACTCACATAAAGTGTGGTGGTATTCTTGTGGTGTCATATTGGTATTGTGGGGAAGTGTGAAATGTGAATTTGTAAAACACCAAAAACCAATCCCACAGCAAAAAAAAAAAAAGAATACCACACAATTTTGATTTCGACAGAATAAAAATACTAAATACGGAACAAAACCAATACAAACCAACTTTCTAGAAATGGTTTACATTAACAGAGACTCACACAGCATAAATTACAGAACAGATATATGCAAACTCAGCCGTAGCCACAGCCAACATCCTAAAGCAAATCAACTATTAAATCTTAATTTTATTTTTCTCTTTCTTTCATTATCGTCCTTAATAATTAACTTCCTTTCCAATATTGAATGCCGAATCACAAATCCAAACCAGAAAATTCCCATTCTCGACTTTCTTTGAGTTAAATGAAACTGCCAATGATAAAATAAAATAAAAAATTACCAGATTTGCACTGTCCCCCACTTTTCACAATCATATAAACAGCAGAATACAAATTCACATTTCACAACAATTTCACACAAAACCAATATGACCCCACAAGAATAGCACCACAGTTTATGTAAGAATGTGTGGTGTTTAGTAACCGTTAGTTAATGATTATTTGGAGATCATGAGATGCGGTCTGGTGTGACGTAGGGTTTATAAAAGCATTTTCTTTATCGTGCCATCGTTTCGATCTTGACTGAGGTCTTCTTCAGGGCCTGGGATTTATAAACATTGTTTAAATTATACAAATACATGTAGGATGTGAAAAACGGAAATATATACAATGCTAGAAATTTTAGACTCAATCAAAGTATTTGTACTCACTCAATGAGTTTGTTTTCTGTGTAGGTGCTTCATTATTGGGTGTCGTGTTGAGAGTGGCACCGAAGATGACCCGAATAAGGTCGAAACGTCGGGAAAAAAATAAAAAAGATGCTTTGTTAAACTACTCATTCTTGACCACGACTTCAACAAATTATGAAACAACGGTCATTAAGAAACACGGATTCTTATTAATTTTTAAGGGCGTTTTAACGGCTCATGTTTTTTCATGCCCTAACATTTAAACCTACTATCAAAATTAGCTACATCCCTTCTGAGTGCTATAAAGCTCTGACCCCAAACATTCACTCATAAACTATCCTATTGCCATCCAAAGCTTAAATTTACCCTCTTAAAATACTTAATTTGGAAGGCCAAATGGATGCAAAAAATCCATTTTAAATTATAACATTTATTCTTGTGCTATATTATTTTTGTTTTGAATTACATTGTATTGAATTGTAATTAAACAAATGTGTTAATTTCATTGCAATGCTCTTGGATATACAATGTTTTTAGTCATTCCATTTAGCATGTATACAGACAACAGATCCCCTTGTTTTTACGTTCCATTATTCAAATTATTGTTTTTATCAAATTACACATTTTTAAGTAAATACTGATTTAATAGTGGCAAGTTGCAATAATTTTTAACTGATGAACTATTATTAGAAAGTTTAATATTTACATTTTTTTATGAAATAGAGAAATATTTCGAGTAGTCCTTCCTCAAGAAGTGTTTCATGTGGAATCATCCAATCAGCCTTTTTTCCCCTGCAGAGGACCTTACGTATGAACGGGGCTTGTTGTTACACTCGCATACCGAACAAAGGTAATTGCAATTTTGTCTCCAGGGTTGATCACTTCTGTTCTTAATTTAAAAAATAAGCTAGTCTTATTTATACAGAAAAGGTTGATGTAATGTAGATCATGAAGTGTTGGTAGTACAGGTGGAATCTTGGTGAGGATACGTTGACCATCTGTCTCTTTCCTTCGACCTGAGCTTCTCCAAAAATGTCTCAGCGATGCCACTGATATATTCAGCACTGAATCTGTTTAAATCCATGGGGATTTCGAGTTCCTGCGCTCTTTCCAACCAGTCCCTATCCCAACAAGTCTTTAACCTCATACTTTCATTAGTAATCAAATTAACCAGTTATAAATAATGTGGCTGTGGTCTTGCGAGAAGGACTCCAGGAAGATGCCTGGACATGACGTCGATTCTGATAGTCTGAATCTATGAAGATAAGCCAAGCACCCTCCACGTTCCGATATGACTTGCGTGGAAGTTGTCAGGTAGAGGGAATTTCATTCCATATTCAACCGATGGAAAGAACAACTTTGGGCTCCTTTTGTAGTTCGTTGTCATGTTTCATTCCATTCCTTGATTGCATTTTCTTTTAACATCGCCTTAAAACCTTAACCTTTATGCTTTGACATTGATATTTTCATTTTAGTCTAAATATGCTTAGGCGTGCATAATTTTAGCCAAAAATCCACGAAATTTTCGTTATTTTTTCGGTTTTTGCCTATAAATCGTACACAACTAATCTTATCGAAAACTTTATTATATCAAAATGAAAGATCATTACGAGAATCACCATTGAGGTAATCAAATACCGTGTGTTTGTTAATTTGCTGTTTTTTTTGTTTTGTTTTTTCACCTCGGTTTTCTTGATTACTCTGAGAACTTGTAAAAGTGATGATCGGAACACCAGAAAGTTTAATATACGATTCCCTTTCTGAAAGTGTACTAAGTGTGTGTTTATATTTAGAAGAAATTTGGGGGGCCAAGATAGGGTGACTTGCTCGAGCGGGTACAAGTGAGGTATGTTGAATTACTTTTCCACCTGGCAAAAAAACACCCTAAGCATTTAAAAAATATTAAATTGGTTGTTGGTTTTGCTGTGTTTTCTTGGGTCTTGGTTTTAATGAAGTCGGTTGCTAATGTTTAAGGGTAAGACTAGGAGTTCATTGTTAAGTCTGTTTTTTCTTATGTGTAGGGAGGGTATTTCTGCTTTAATCGAAGTTTTTTTATATTTTTTATTAGCAGTCGTTGCAGTGAATGCATTTATTTTTAATTTAAGTTGGGCTTAAGTCGGGGTTAAATCGTGAGTTATTTTTGTTAAACCAAATGTTAGCAATAGTGTCGTATAATTTGTTAATTTTATGTGCATACCATTTAAGTAACATAGCCTGACTTGCTGTGTTAGAGTTGATGCTGGGTTTGGTCTGCTAGTCGGTGTCCTCATGCTGAAATCATTGGCCCCAATGCCAGTTCAGCATGAGTTCACCGTCTCGCAGACCCACATCCACCATCAACTCTCTCTGTTACCAGTAAAAGGTTTGATGCCTTTTTTTAAAATTAAACGTTCATATAAGAGAATGAAGCAGATTCCTTCGTAAACGTATTTAGAGATTATGCACTCATATGAATATTTGCAAGTAGAAATAGTAAACATACTAGAGTTCAGGAGGTTCTTTATTTACGATTTAAAATGATGTAAATACCAATGTCAACCCTGCAATAATAGGAAATCGGCATGTTGTAGATGTTTCTAAATTTAATGTCATTCTACATACATCTAAACCAAAATCTCTGGGAAAAAGATTATTTAAATCTGAAAGAATTTATGTACGAATTCCCGGGGTATAAAATACATTCTTACAGGGGCCTTGAGTTGGCATGGAGCATACCCGTACAGAAGATTTAATCAACGGAGAATCACAAAAGACTCAGAATTAAATATTTAAATATATAATGAGTACCTTCATATGAAATTTGAGCTAGTAATGCAGGCGTAATGGGCAATTTAAAAAAACAAAAAACCCGGCAATTATTACCTACTTGGAAGAGTTGTGGACTTCGCAAACACGTTTGCTGCAGAGCACATAGTTTATGGGCTCAATGAGCGGAGAATTATGTTCTACAACTTCTATGGATATTTCTGCTTGGATGAGCTATGATGCTTGGATTTATTCCAAGTGCTTTAACCAATACGCCTTCCTGGGGTCTTTGCTGCATAATCTCTGACCTTGTTGCTTCGTAGGGCTTTGGTCTTATGCAGAATGTAGCTATGTGTTTGAGTCTTTTGTCAAGATTACTTATACGTTTGTACTTTAATTCTTTGGAGAAAATTAAGGCAATAGGCCTTAACCAAATCAATGTAAATTGCATCGATCTGCAAGCAACCAGTTTCAAGAGAATAATATATTGATCTACTACCTATCGAGATCAGTACAATAAGATTGCTTTGGAACAAAAGCAAACTGAGGTGGACCTTTTTCAGTTAATTTAGGTTATGAAAAGCAAACTGAGGTGGACCTTTTTCAATTAATTTAGGTTATGCAGAAAGTGTAGTTATCGGCCTATAATCTTTGATATTTCATTCATCACCGGTTTTATGTACATGAATTACATTAGAGTTTATCCAAAATTGAGGGGAATGCCCATCCATCCTCAATCTAAGATTCGTTTGAAGTTTTGATTCCACCTCATTGATCTTTGAGATAATCTTATTTCTTGCGGTTTACCGGATGTGCACAAAAATTTGACAATATCAATGCTGATAATTTATTTTTCAGGCGTCAATTTAAAATTAGTAAAAATACATTTTATAATTAACTATTAAACGAATTTTTCGGAGATGTACACTGAATCGCCAACGGCAACGACCCCTTCTTCGTAAAGCCCTAAATGGACGCCCATAAATGGTGCCGAACCTTCGATTCTCCTCTGCCTTTCTTCAGTAGCCAGTCTAAACCTACAATCAAAAGATGTATTATTTCTTTATAATATATAAATATTACTAGGAAGAGGGGGTTTGGTATTCCCCAAAGCACTGCTTCCTTTCGGTGCCTGTGGTTAAAGTTGGATGCAGCTTTCCTCTAAACGTTACTTTCGCACCTCACGCTCTCACTCACTCACTCACTTACCCTCCTAACACTTTCTCTTACTTATTCATTCCTTCATACTCTTTTTCATTCTACAAGTTTACAACCGATTGGCTCACAGATGCCACTTTGTACTCGACACAACTCTAGCTTCTCTACAACCATCACGCTTAATCGATACTCGCGGCAACGAGTGTAGCACTTCATATAGTTGTTGGCTACACAACACTTGGCCAATCTTAGTGTCACCCCCCACCCCACCAATGGCTTACTGTACTTAATACATAAATAAGCTGTGAAAATATATACATAGTGTCAACATACGTCTTCAGTGTTTTTAATGGCTCCATGTTACTGTCTTTGGACATCGTTTCCGGATCTATTGTGACGAAACTACATCTAAAACACATAAACATAACGTTTTTGTGCGCCATTATAAATTGTTATTTTATCATGGCACCTTGGACACGGAGAAAACACCCTGAAAACTGCTTTCTCCCCTATTTTCAGCCATTTCCACTCGTCCTCCGCGAATGCTCTAGGCCCAGAAATGTGGATGTTTGGTCGGAAGTTCATATGAGAGACCTGAGTCGAGCCGGGAGTAAGCCGAGAGTTGATATCTTTTACAGAAGATTCGTTGATCAGAAGATAGCTGCTTATGTCAGAATAAGATCCCTTGAATTTTAAAAGTATTAGATTAAGAAGGACGACAATTTTTAATTAAATATTACTGTATATTCATTTTTCATGTTGTAATATTCTGCTTTCTCCTTGTGGAAGTTCTTCACCTCTCTTCTGCCTGATATCGACTTCGACCAGTATCCCATTCTCACGGGCGATTCCTTAAAATTACGTTCAGATGGTTATAAAATTTATATCGATACGTCAACTCACCACACCAAGCACGTCTGTGATCCACTTTGAAGCTTCGTCGCCGCAGTCTGCAGTCGGTATCCTCTCCCCGAACCACATCCTGAAACGTTGGCGGAAACATGAGATTCAGTGTTATCCATCATATCCGGGATTACTTCAACTCCTCATTGTTGAATCCTGATGGCACTCTGACCCTCAACGGTTCCTTCCCTTTGAAGGCGAATTCTACAGAGTCCGATGACACGGATGTCACAGTGATGCCGAGAAAATTCGGGAACGTTCTTCCTGACACGAAGTCTGCCGTGTCGGCTCGGAACGCGACGAATATCCTGTATTCATACTCATTATTTGCCTGTAAGAATGAAATTAGTTTATTTGAACCTGTCACTTAAAACGAGCAAGTCGTCGTTTCGGATTTCCTTTAGGCCTTTTCCCGTCGTGACGGCTACAGGCAAAGACTGGTATCTCGAACTCTTCAAAGGGTAGATGTAGAGGTTTGAAACTGTACCGATTTCCTTCCAGTACCCTTTCGGCACTTGTCTCATCTTTTTGGTCAAGGTCAACAAAATTAACAAAGCGCTTACGGTTGTGAAGGTGAGAAGGGATAGCGCTAATAAGTCGCAACTGCTCATTATCTGGAATGAATTGATTGTCTACTTAAAACAAAACCAAATAAGTACTTAAAAGTACAGAAAAAACTTGAAAGTTATTAATTTTCTGAATATAAAAAGTCTGAATCTGCTTAAAGTGAGATCAATTTATTTTGCTAATTTGCACATTTTTTTTGTATAAGCTTGCCTCTGACATTTAACGTAGGAATGATTAGGGCCATTTAACAACGATATCGTTAACATTTATATCTAACCATAATAGCAAAGCATTTTCGTAATAAGTACACCAAAACAGGCTACTTGTAAAATTAGTGATGGAGTTTTGTTTAATGATTTTTGAAAAAACAAGCAGACAGTCCAAAAAAAGAAATAGAGGGCTTTCATCAAGTTGTAAAACTATTTCCAAAATGCAAACAAAATTGGTCAATCCTTTCGAAAATAATGACATGTATTAACTACGCTTACGAAACGAGTGGTCAAACTCTCTCTTTTCAATTTCAGGCTCTCAACTTTCGCTTTTTATTTTTGTATGCATGAATAAACATCAAATGTTCTTATTCTTTTAATCATCACAAAGTATCTAGTAGCTTCGAACCGATGAGCTTATTGTAAACAAATGGGTCGTTGTAAAAACACACACACACACTTCCATCACTAAACTCGATCATCGAAAATTGGTGGTTGTAATTAATGTAAGATTTTTTAAAACTTAGTTAATGTAACTCTCCTCATTCACTCAAACATGCCCACCTCACCTACTCAATCTCTGACTCTCACTTCTCCACTCTCNTCTCTCTCTCTCTCTCTCTCTCTCTCTCTCTCTCTCTCTCCTATCACACACACTTTCACTTCCACTCACTCACATTCTCTCTTTCCCCCTCTCTCAGACACTCCCTCTATCTTACCTACTCCCACTCTCTCTCAGTCCCTCACTCCCTCTCTCTTATTCATTCCCTCTCATTCCTCCATTCACTCTCTCTCACTGACTCACTTTCGCTCTCACATGCACTCGCTCACTTTCTCTCCATCCCCCTCCCTCACTCGTTCATTCACTCTCTCATTCACCCACCAACCTCACTTTCCTCACTCAACTCACCTCACTTAATAACCCACTTCATCCTCATCTCATTCACTAAACCCACCTCACCGTGTTCATCCCATTCACTTGCTAACTAACCTCATGCACTCACCCAACTCATACACTTTTTCTTTCATTCATTAAACATATATGTACATAATAATGGCAAATTTATTCCCTACAGAAATATTTTTTGTTGTTTATCTTGTCATTTGTTTCTAAAGTGGTTAAGCCTTTGTGAGTGGGTCTTTACTCTAAGTTCTTGGTAGTCTTCTCTCAATAATCTTGGTTCTTGTCAGTTTCAATCTGTCGCAGGCACTTAGTCAAATCCGTAATTTGCTCAAATACCCAGTCATTTATTCAAATTTCAAATTACTGATGGTATGACTAGACCCTTTATTAAGTGCCTCGACATTTCAACAAGAGGCACTTAATCAAGTTTCATTGTGGAGTTAGGCAGTTAGTCAAAAATGAAATATACTGAAAAAATGCATAGCACAATCTTAATAATAGAAAATCCATTTACAATCACTATCTAGAGTTGATTGTAAATCAATCGACTCAGTTTGTCTACACATGTAGAACTTGTGAGATGTAATGGGTTTTACTATAACCCCTTTGTTAGGAACATGCTTCTTAGTGTTGCAAATCTCACAATTACTAGTGAATATATTTCAAGACATGGAATGTTAAATTTTTGTTTCACTGCGAAATGCATTTTGTCTCTGCCTCTACGGCCAGTTTATCCAAGGCAATTTATCAAACATTTCATACGACACCGAATAAGTATAGCGTCAGATTCAAGTTTAGGCTTAATAATCAGATTCAATTTCCTACCTGCCTCTATCAGATCGTATGTGCGTAACGGAAATGACTGAATCTGGGATTTTGATGTATTGATTGTCTTGTCATTCTGAAGCTCTCGAATTTTCCCATTTAAGACATCTTCAGTCTAAGGCTTTTAACGTGATTGTAAAATGTCTCATAATAGTTAAGATATCCCACTGATTTGTTGAAAATAGCCCATTTTAAAGAAAGTTAAAATGTTTCATCATCAGTTCTGGTAGCAGGGTTGCAAAACTCAATGGAAAAGATTATAAATCAATTAAAAGTATTTTTCGTCATTTGAACATTAGGCTATTTATGTTGCATCATTCGTCTTATTCTTCAAAACAAAACAAAAATGAAGCACTCACTAAAAATCTAATAAATTTTCCTCCACTTGGTTCCTCCAAAGTAAAACAACACCGTTACCTTAATAAATATTTCAGTAATATAATTATCTTAACATATCTTCAAGCTATTAAGTGTATACTTTTTTTTTAATATTCTGGAATCGGACTTACTTCTAACAGGTGATGGTGATGACAAGGGATGAATCGTTTTGTGCAAAAAGATTGGAAGAGGACAATCAGCAGGCTCAGATAGCCTTATATTAAGAGGGGATTATTTATCTATGGTAAATCTCGACCTTGTAACATATTAAAACAATAAATAAAATGATCAGAACTCTTCTATAAATGTTCAACCTTAATAAAAAAAATTGTGGAATCATTCAATCAATTGGACTTTATGGAACACTTTAATTTATTTTTTATGCCAACAAATCATAATTGGGACTTTAATCCCATAGCAGGCATTTTTATTTATATCTGCATTTCAACTATTTGACTAAATTGACTATTTGCATCTTATCAACCAGTTCGATTATAGAAAGTAGAATAATAGTCTGCCAAGTCAAATATAAGTTAATATTGATTTTAAACAAAAGTCTCGATCTGATTGAATTTTAATTTTAAGAGAAGTTCAGCTTAAGATATTTTTTTATGCTTGATTGATACAAAAACAAACAAAATGAATTTCTAATTTGTTTATTATATTAATGCAGACTATGCATTTTTTTTTTAATCTTTGTTTTATAGCTGAGATCGAAATGAGTTTGGAATCATCAGAAGAGGCAGATGCTAGGCCAGAAATTCCTCCTTCGCCTGACACCGGTCAAAAAGGTTCAATTTTAATTTTGTAACTGAAATTGAACACTTTTACTGTTAAATGTTATGGTTGAATTTTCAGAGGAACAGAAGAATGTAGAGAGTAAGAATCGTAAACATTTAACGTGTGATGTTAAAGGGTGCACAGCTTCATTCTCACGACCCTGGAGATTGGCGGCACACAAAGCTGTTCATTTAGGAGAGGTACGTCAATAATGCGCAGTAATTCAGTTCAAGTGTCATTTAATTATATCTATATTAAATATTATTATCTATATTAAAGCAAATAAAAAATCTTAAAATAAAAATTTGAACAATTTTGTATTATGCTTACTCAGTACAGAAAACAAATTTCTCACTTGTAGTCATGTTTATTATATAAGTTAATTATTTCTTTATATAAGAAACCATTCCCATGTGATGTTGCTGGTTGTGATAAAGCATACACATCGTCATATCACCTTAGGAGGCATAAACTTTCTACTCACAGCTCAAGTCCAGCCATTGAGAAAGTTTTCAAGTAAGCCTCTCACATTAAATTAACCAGGTATTCTTGATGATTTATTTAATTTTGACCAGGTGCGAGTTCGAAGGTTGTACGGCAATTTTCAAACAGAGGCAGAACGAAAGGCGTCACTATAGGCGAACTCATGAAAAAAAGATATGCTTGACATGCGGCAAATCTTTTGAGAAACAGTCAATGCTTCGATCTCATGCATTCTATCACACTGGAGAGCCTCCTTATAAGTAATGTCTTTTGACATGTATATAAATTTAATTTTAAAATAAATATTTTATTAAAGGTGTGAAATATGCAAAGCTGGATTTTTAACAAAGGGAAATCTAATTAGGCACAACCGAGGGCATAGGGAGCATATTTGCCCTGTGCACGGTTGCATACAAGTATTTGATACTTGGTCACACCTTCGTAAACATCTTGCTACACATCCACTACGTAAGAATTTCATTTAAAAAGAAATTATATATATATAATTTTTTACAATTTATTATAAATTTTATTATGCGGTCGACCACATCTCATGATTTCTGAATAATTATCGATTAACGGTCACTAATCACCACACATTATAAATTTTGTAGAATTTACCTGTTATTACTGTAAAAAGGCATACAGGCTAAAAGAATTCTTGAAAGCACATATAAAAAAGCATATGAATGCAAATGGAGGACCATTGAAGAGGCAGTGTACGCTGAAAAGATACACCTGTTCCATATGTTCTGCCTCCCTTCTCGGCAAGGTAATTTCTTTTTCTTTCATGTGTGTTTTGAAATTATTGAAGATTCTCTCTAGGCTTCCCTCAAGAGGCACATAAGTTTAATTCACGAAAAGTCGAAGAATGAAAAGACAGAAAAGGCGGACAACAAACCAAGAGCACCCCGGAAAGATAAAGGTGTACCAAAGAGATCAATGGCCACGGCGCTGAGCAGCGTTTTTCTCAATGCGGATCTAGAATTAAGGCTCTTGCATGGCGAACCAGTTGTCGATGATTTAGAAAGAGCCATATCTACTAACCAAATACAAGAATCTCAGGTAAAAAATTATTATTGTTTTTACGAATTACTTATTTAAAGAATTTCTTGTTTTCAGATGGTTCTTGTTGATGGATCAACATCTGAATCTGATGTTCCTATTGTTAAAGAGATTGAATTTAATAAACTCTAGTCGTAATATTTTATTATTAACTAGCAACTTTTTTCCAAATGTAATTTCCCTTTAAATTCTTAGGTAAAACCATAATTAATTTAGATACATTGAAGATGGCAAAATGTTAAAACTTATCTGGCATACCAACCAGCAAGGATAAGCAGAGCAAAATTATCGATAACAATCAAATTGATTTAAAATTGTGTCATAGAGGTGAGGAATGCTTTACAACCCCTTTAGTTGTTACAAGGATTCTCACTTAACTTTTTCTCTTTTTATTTCCAATTAAGAAAATGTATATTGGACGTATACACTCTAAACAAAACTCGGCTCCTTGGTTTGATGAGGATAAGCCAACCCATTGGCCAACCTTGGCTTATCCTCATCAAACCAAGGGGTTGAAGGCTATGATGAACTATGTCGTATTACTGGGAAATCCAATAAATTAAGACTCAAATTTTGTGAATCTTTCCCCGTCCGAAGAATAGTGGCAAAGGAATTTAATCAAATAAATGATTCTATTACAATTGTATAAAAAAAGGACTTTAATTAAAAGATAAAAAAAAGAACAACAACAAAAGAATAGCGGCTCTGCCGTGCTTCAGCACATTATTTTTAAATAAGAAATAAATCACCAAACGCATTCATTAATAAAAAATACAAAAAAATTAAAACAAAGGCTCACTGGCGTTGAAAAAAAGATATGATGCGAAGTCGACAAACTGTAGTCTGAGAAGACGATGAAATCAGTGAAGGCTCAATTCCGCAAATTTTCTTCAATTTAAGAATCTTCCGACCTCAAGAAACATCTAAGAGAGACTGCCGTGGTTCTCTCAAATCACGACGTGTTCGGCGCTTCAACCAATCAGATTGATATGACAATTGTTGATGCTCAATGCATTATAAGGCCAAGGGTTTCGGCCATGTGGAATTGCAGGCATCAACATCAACCCTTTGGATGATGTCACAAGTCTGAACCTTGACTAAGGCCAAACTCTTCATTTGCTCTGATTCGCCTCTTTTACACAGTATTATATTATTTTTTTGTTGGGTGAGAATTGTTTAGTGTATATGTCTTATGGCAATGGCAGAAAAATATGGCATATGCAAGAATCCTACGACCTGACAAAGTTCCAATTAGCCAGCCCCCTTTTTAATTAATTAAAATAACAAAAATTAATTTAATTTACACACCAAACCAGTTTTTTTGGTAATATCTATATTTTCAACAAACTTTATTTATATTTTTTTACAAAGGTATTATTTCTAAATCAAGACTCAGTTCACTTGTCATTTTCATAATCTGCTGGATTCTTGCGCTGCATCTGGAGAGCCTTTTGTTCGGTGGCCGAATAAATGAGATATGCCAGTATTGCAGCTGTTGAAAGAAAAAAAAAAAGGAAAAGTTAGTATTCCAATGTAAATGTTATTATCAGAAGATAACTTACGAGGGGCGATGTATGGGATATTGCTGGCAATTCTCCTGATCGTCTTAGGAATTGAGGCTGTGAATCCGGCGAAAGCCCTCTGCTCAAATGGGCTCAACCTGTAAGTCACGAGACCTCGTATGTATGGGCCGAGGTTGCCAAAAGCTTTACCATGTTTTGGAGTAGTCAACTTCATTTTTGTACTGTAACACATGAAAGAGTAAAATGTGAAAATGACCTATTTGTGGGTCACATTTTTTAAAAAGTCTTGTGATTTTTTCTGATCTCAGCAAATTTAACAAAACAATAAAACCTGATAACGAAGACTTTTAATATTTTCTTTGGTGATTGATCAGCCTTCTCAATTTAAATATACTTTTTTCTTAACAAAAGGTAGATTAGGGATGTACCTGTTCATATAATATAACGATTTTTTTGAAGTCCTGATGAAGGCGATATATTCTGCCGAAAGCTTGACAAGAAAATAAATGTTTCTGTCTTCCGTGGCCTCATCCCCAATCTACCTTTTGGAAGACTTAACTTAACTAAGTTTAAAAACATTAACTTAACTAAACTTAAAGTATTTAGTAGGTTCTTGAAGGACTACTAAATTCAAATAAAAATTAGTTACTAATTTAAAAAAAAATGTTATTTTAAACTGACCATTTTGGTACTTTGATTCAAAATATACAATGGAATGAAAATAATAACAACCTTCAAAGTCTCTACCTCGAAAATCAAGGATGATAAAACCTGCGAAATTAAATATGACCAAACTAGATTTATTCAAAATAAATAAAGTTAATAATAATAAATTTAAATTTATTTGTACGAATTTAAACTTAGGCGAAGTGCGGTCCAAACCGTGTGTAACATCAATACAGTTTGGGGGAATGAATGCTAGGTGCAGCGATGGTTTTAGAAAGTTTGTCTTGGAGATTTCGGTCTCTAAAACTGTGAAGGTCGTGATAGGCTTTGTGGACGATGACCAACTCAAAACGTTGATTGAAGAAAATTCACCTAAGACAACATGGGAAAATGCAAAAGAGCTTAGCTTATTGTTGATCACTCAACTGTTGTTCACCATCTGGAGCAAATTGGTGAAGTAAAGAAACTCGACAAATTACTGCACCTACAAACCAAAGCACAAAGAAATCAACTTTTGAAATTTGCACGTCTCTTCTGTCGCGCCACCAAAATTCCATTTGTCAATCAATCATCACATGTGGTGAGAAATGGATCTGTACGATAACTGGAGGCATGCAGATCAGTGGTTGGACAAGGATGAAACGCCAAAAACACTTCCCGAAATCAAATCTGCACCCAAAAAAGGTTATGGTAATTGTATGGTGTTCTGCTGAGGTTGTTCACTTTAATTTCCTGAATGATGGTGAAACTATCACAGCAGAGAAATATTGCCAAGAAATTGACAAAATGCACAGGAAACTGCTACTTCTTTGCCCAGCATTAGTGAACCGAACCGGCCGAATCTTCTTCACAATAACGCTGGGCCACATGTCGCAATGCCAACCCTGCGGAAACTTAAGGACTTAGGATATGAAACCTTACTGCACCGTCCAGATTTACCCAACCTCCCGCCTATACTTCCACTTTTTTTAGGCATTTTGATCACGTCTTGAGGGATAAAATTTTTAGAGAATGCAGAGAAACCGAAAACCCTTCCAAGTTTTTATTGTGAGTCGAAATTGATTTTTATGTCAGCAGAATAAAAGCGCTTATCACACGTTGGTAAAGATGTATAGACTATGATGGAAAATATTTCGAATAAATATTTTTTATTTTATAAACGTAAAAATTGTTTTGACTGCCTTTTCAAAACGCATTATTTTTTACATTGCATTTTGACTTCACAAATTGTTTTCAATTGCGAATTTTGAAACTTTCACCTAAGTCTGTGATAACAAAAGATCTTGGCAAGCTTCTAAGTTCTCAATAATTCCATCTAATCATCTAAATTATCTATTTATCATCCTTGGTCATGAAAATTTTATGTATTAATGAAAAGAAAAGGGTGAAAATCTTAAAAACAATCATTTTTACTTTTATGCCACTTTTTTTTGCTTTCTGTTAAAATATAAAAGGTACGACTAAACAAAATCAGTTATTTATAAACTGTGAAATTGCCAATTTTGTCTAAACTTGATACTTACGATTATAGATCGAAATATCCAAGGGTAGTAATTATGAACAACCTACCAGTCATCTGCCCAGAAAATCAATGGTGACTATATTTTATCATTTGACCTCGGATGATTTTTTGTTTTATTAAATTAAAGGCGAATGTTTTATGTATTGTTTATCGCTGTTAAAAAAAATAAAACTTTTAAATGTAAAAGTGAGAATATGATAATTTGTGTATTAATGGATGAAAGAGAGCGTTTTTTTCAAAAAGTTATGAAGAGGGTTGTTATTTTTTATTTTCGAGTTGATTTATTTTTTATGTTTATCTTAAGTAAATTAATAAGTTTTTAAGAGAAATTTAATGAGTTTAAAAAAATTTATGACATTGGTGTGTCGATGGAGAGTTTGGCGCTTCTAGAGTTCAGAGCAGGTTAGAAGGCGGGGCGGGCTTTTAGGACTAGTACTGGCAAGAGGGTAAACCACACTACGGTTCAGTTCAAGTTTATCGTTCTTCGAGATTGGAAACAGGTAAGCTGGGCGGACTTTAATCCATAAAAACCACACCGGCTGTGGTTCGGCGACGGTGCCACGGGATAGTCGGCCGTACCAATTAAATCCGACCGGTTCCGCGGGGTTTCACGTATTGATTCAAGGCGGGGCGAGAGCTCGTAGCAATCCTAGTCGTTGGTCGGCCGCCGGCAATGGCAGACTCACTTTTTCGCTTTTAATCCATTATGGGAGGAAAATTTAATTTGAAATTGACTCTTTTTTTCTTCAACGGAATTACTTAAAACAAGCGGATTTTAATATTTTCCAAAACAAATTCCTTTACGGGCCTCGTGAGTTCCATTTTGGGCATAAACGCCGTTACCACGTTACGTGGACTGTTAACGTACTTTCCCTCCCCGTATCAAATTAGGCCTCTGGTCCAAAATTGTCCACAAATAGATTCCGGGACTACCCAAGATATTAATTGCCTACTTGGCACAGATATAACCCTTTTTATTACTCGTCCCTTCAAAACTTCACGATTCGCATTCCGTTTTTAGGCTGTGCTTCATCAATTCTTACCGAAAACTTATATTAATTTGGAATTTTCTGTGAAACCTTTTTTTTTCCCTATAATTATCAATCTGCGACAATTTAGCCATTGGTATAATTTTCAAACTTAATAGTAAATTTTAGGAAGATAAACTTTATCCAAAGTTATCCAACAATCAGGTACTATTATCAAAAACACATACCAGTATTTCATATAATTTCAAGGTCATTTAGTTTTATATAATTAGTTTTCCTTATTTTTAAAAAAATATAAATAATAAATTTATAAGTCGTTAGGGTTAACTATATATCCCACTTCCTCGACTGATCACATTTTGATAATTCTACTTATTCAATTTTTTTTAGTGACATATCGGGGCATATTTTCAGTTGTAATAGTTCATATTAATTAATAATGGCAAGTGTTTAGACAGATGTATAATCCCGTTGAAAATTGTCTAAATTAAGATGCTATTATCATATGAGTACCATTATTTTTGTGATCACAAGGTCATTAATTTCAGAAACATAGTTCTCCTTAATTTTTTTTATATATTTTATTATCAATCTGGAAGTCCTTACAGTTTTTATAGCTATTATACTGCACTTCCTCAATTGATCACTTTTTATAATTCAGTTTATATATTACAAAAAAAAAAGATGGAGATTATACATCGAGACATATTTTCAAATTTAATTGTTCATATTAATTAAAACTAAGTTTTACGACAGATATATGATTCTGTTTAAAGTTGTCTGTATTCTGATACTATTATCAAATGTGTACGAGTATTTTTATGATCTGAGGTCATTAATTTCATAAACTTGGTTCACCCTAATTTTTTAATTTTATTTTTTTATTACCAATTGGGAAGTCGTTACGGTTTTTATACCTATTATACTGCACTTCCTCGATTGATCACTTTTTTATAATTCAGTTTATATATTTAAAAAAATTGAGATTATACATGAGAAATATTTTCAAATTTAATTGTTCTTATTAATTAAAACTGTTTTACGACAGATATATAATTCTGTTCAAAATTGTCCATATTATGATACTATTATCAAATGTGTACATTACACATACATACTTACAAATGGGCTTTTTTTTCCTCCCCAAAAACACCGGTACCCCGAGGGTTGATATAACTTCTGCTTGCAAACCCTCGTTAAAAAAAAAAAAGTTGTCCTGTTCAAAGTTGTCCACATTCTGATAGTATTATCAACGCGTAATGTGTATTTTTATGCTCTCAACATCGTTAATTTCATCAACTTAGTTCACCTTATTGTTTTTAAATTATCAATTGGGAAGTTGTTATGGGTTTTATAGCTAGTATATTACAGTTTCTCGATCGATCACTTTTTTATACTTCTGTTTTTATAAATTTTTTAAAATCGAGACATTGAGACATTTTCAAATATAATAGTTCGTATTAATTAATAATAATACAAAGTATGTAGACAGATGTATAATCTCGTTGAAAATTGTCTACATTATGATGCCATTATCAAATGCATACCAGTATTTTTATGATCTCAAAGTCATTAAGTTTCAAAAAGTTACATAAGTTTTTCATGTTTGTATCATGTTGTAAAATTCAAGATATTGCTTTCTTTCACTACACCTAATAAATGTTTATTTATTGATACATTTAGCCAAAAGCCATAAAAAATCTTTGTACTAAGAGAGTAAAACTTCTATAAAATAACCACCAATGACTAACGAATAATCCCCCTTTTTCACCCCCCCCACCCTTAAAAGCGTATATTTATGTATTACTATAACAAAAAACTGATTGGAATTACATGAAACCAACAACAAGAACATAGAAGACATTATGCATCTTTGAGACAAAATGTTCCGGATCTTTTCTATTTGTATCATTTTTTAAAATGAGGTCTAGCCATTGATAAATATTTTAAAAATTGATTGTTCACAATAATTAATCATGCTATAGGATGTAGGAACTTTCCATTTGCTTGGAATTATATATTGCAATGTATTGTACAGTCGTTAGGGTTTGTATTATAGGGCTACTATTTGTTTTAATTTATTTAGTTGTTTGAATAGTCAGTGTATTGAATTTAGAAAGTTAATCCCAAAATGTTTTGTTTTTTTATTTATTTTGTCTGTTGGTATTAATACTGATGTTGATAAGAAGAAAAACATTATATCAAATAAAAACAAAGTGTATTTTCGTCTCATAAAAGTTTCGTATGAAAAATGTTTCGACAGCAAGTTTTTCATAATATAATAATAAAATTAAACAAAACGTAAGTTAGGCCTCTTTCAGACGAGGGGTTTTGGTTGATTCAACTAACTTGCCCAGTTGACTATCAACTAGTTTACTGCTGTGTGAAGACTCTTTCTTTGCTGGTTTCACACCAGGCAACTTGTGGATTCAACCTCTCTTTACAACGGGAGGTCAGTACTAGAACCTGAGGAAGCAGGAAATTCTTGTGCTTGCTCTTCTGCAAAAAGAGAAGGAAAAAAGGAGGAAACCCAGTAAAGAAAAGTGTGGGTTTATCCATTGGTATAAAATTGGGAAACGGGCGCTTTCTCTCAAATACTGTTGTGCTACTTCCCTCCAAGCTTTGCTTCTTTTAACTTTCGCTATACTCCTCACACCACGAAAGTATTCTTTTTCCTAACAATTGAAAGTATTAATATTGAAATTCGGAGGTTGCTATATGGCTGGTCATGGCAGGGAACTGGATGAATATGGGTTTTCTGCTTACACTGAAGTTAAAACGACTTGTTAGAATGGATCAGAAAAATTCATAAATTAAAATTAAACATGAAAATACCCCATCCCAACCTCCTAAATAAAGCCAAAAGCACCAAAATCAAAACAACTTTTGTATTCTATAGAACTTGGCAAAATAACAAATACACGTTGAAATTTTGAACATTTTATTGAAACATTTGTTCATTTATTTTTTGTTTATTATATTTACATTTGCACCTCATGTAGATGTAGTGTTGTTTGTTGAAGTGGTTGAAATTTATCACTATGAAAGTAATTTTAGCTTTAAAAAGTCCATGTAAAGTCTGAGGATGGCAGTTAAAGTGTTTATCAATCTCTTATTCTATAATCAAATTGATTTTTTCCTATTAGAAGTGATATCTTTGTTTTATTTTTATAATCAAATGAAATTTGTTGTTCTTTTTTATTTATTATGGGACAACATAAAGAAAAGAAAATGCCACCAAAGAAGGTTACCAAAGCTAAAAAAGGGGCAGAGAGTGATCCAGCTCCAGTAGTCAGCGAGGAAGAAAATGGTGTAGAAGAAACACATACCACCGAGGAGACTGAAGTAAGGCATAACCAGACCTTCCCACTCTGAGCTGGTGATACTTAAATGTAAAAATAATTGTTGGTCTTTTGGTAGGAAGATGTAGAGGCAATGCCTAAACAGAAGGCAGGGAAAAGGAGAGGTGCACAGAAAGAGAAAAACACTCCACCACCCAAGAAGTCAAAGGCTGTTTCACCCGTACCTAAGGGGAAGACTGCAACTGTAAGCTGTTTCACTTATTTATATTTTTCCTTGCTATAAATTCTTAACTTTTTCCAAACAGGATGAAAAGGCGACTAAAAAAGGTACAAAGAAGGCTGAAGATACCAAGGAAGAAGAACAAACTGAGGTGAGGATGGTGAAGTGTAGGTTATTTGTTCATTCGCTTAAAACTTGAAAAATATAACCAAAATAGATAGATAACAAAGACTGCAAAGTCCAATTTAAAAATTTCACAACAAAAAGTTTTGGGATATAATTCACCTTTTTTTTTTTTTTGCCTTATGATCTTGCCATGGTACGAATTCTTTGTGTGTTCAAATTGGGGTTATCGGGAAAAAAGGGTCAGAGGCGACGGTGGGAATCGAACCCACGATCGCGGCGTGAGAGTCTCATGCTAACCACTCGGCTACCGCGGTCCCCTAATTCACCTTAATATCAGATAAAAGAAAAACATGATGCAAGTTTTGTGATGATGTTGAATCAGCACTGTGTCCTGTCCAAAAGTCCCCTGATGGTTTCATGCTATCAAGTGGCATTTTGAGACAGAAGTCTGTATATGCGGTGTTCTCCTTCAGGCTGTCTTGCAGTTGAAGACTGAGGTTTCCTGGTTGGTCATTTTAAAATGTGAATAGTAGTTAGATACTCGTATTATAAATTTTTCCAGTAATAGTTGTTACTAATGAATTAAATGGAAAGTTTATATAAAATATAAAAAATAATGCTAATAAAATGAAACACTAATGATTAAACATTAATATTAATTCAATTAATTATTCTTTTAAAGTAAGGTCTTGGTTGAGATGAAAAAGCTAGTCTCATAAGCGAGATTCGAACCTACGACTTTCGGCTCAATACTTCACTGCCTTTCAACCTTCTTAGCTTGTGACTTTTTCATCTCAACCTAAGATAAAAGGAATAATTAATTAAAATAATTAATATATTCAATTATGACCACTACTGTATGGATTAATTAATATTAATGTAACTTGATGTCTTTGTACATCCTGGTCGTCGATTATCACAGACTTCCAGGCATGTTTCTGATAATAAGAATAAGCATGATCAAGGTCGATGATGTCCTCACTGACGACCTTACCACAATTTGTAAAAGGTATAATCAATGTGTAAAAGGCTGTGTCCACATTTTCAATTATTTGCGTTTATGTTTTTCATCTTTCCTTTTGAATTTGCAATTTTTTTATTTTTTTGAAGTTTTTATCTCAGTTATTCTCACACAAATGCATTGAATTATTCAGCTGGCGTTTAAGCCCAAGTCGGGTTGTTTGTTGTGTCAGCCGAAATAGAACACTTATGATTCACAAACAACACAAAATATCATCGATCAGCAAAACATGCAAAAATGTTATTTAAAAAAAAATGAAGTAGGAAGAAAATATTCCCAAAGAAGCGCCGATGGTATTTCAATAGAATCTGCTGTCTGTTTGAAATCTGTTATCAGTAATAGTAAATATTTTCTTTATTAGACGAATAAAAAGTGACGAGTATTGAATATTCACTATCATGGAATGATTTAAATCCTAACTAAATTGCAAATTTAACATTGCTTGCAATTAATTTAATTGTGATTATTTTAAATTAGGAAAATGAAGATGAGAAAACTGTCGAAAAACCAGACAAAAATAAGGGTGGGAAGAAACCTAAAGGGGTAAGATATCAGTTGTTAGTTTCTGCATGTAATATAAAGAAAATTTATCATTTATAGCGTAAAGCCAAAGGTGATGGCCAAGAAAATGGAGCTGATATGGGAACCAGGCCGAAGAGAGAAGCCTTTCAAAAGGTAAAAAAATTTAAAATAATTACAGTATTGTTTTCGTTATCTTCTGAACATGATTATGAACATTTTTGTATTTCAGGCTGTAGAGCTTGTGGCTACAAATAAGCGCACAACTAAAAAGATTGTGAACAGAACCAAACAAAACAAACCGAAGTAAGTTCAATACTTTTAGTAATATATAGTATGTATATATATTAATAACTTACCTTGTTTCTTTGTGGTTACATGTTATTACTAACACTAATTTCAGTAAGCTAATAATATAAAGTTTTTCTTCTGTATATGTATTTGTTGTTGTGGATTGGGATTGAATTAGGGCAATAACACATATTAAATATGGCGAGTAGAAAACTGATCTAGTGAAAATTTTCTTGTTGGTAAAAAACCTGTTCTCTATTTCCAACCTTTAAATTATAAAACTGTTTTCTTCTTACCATTTATGAATGCTAGGAAAATAGGCAGTTTGGTAAAAGTGCATCTATGGAGATAAATTTTTCACTTTAACGTGTTGACCACGGAGGCACTCATAATGTATTTCTGCTTTTCAATATTATTGAAGTGAAAACTTCTTTAGGCGCGCTCAGCATTTTTTTGTGAGTATTGAATGAGACTGAGCTCACGCTCGAAGATGTAACGCTCATTCGGGTAGAATCGGCTCGAGTCGACTAAGCGTGAGAGAGACAGTCAGTAGAGCGAGAGAGAGAGAGAGAGTCAAAGCGTATCCGCTGTATACGCGCTCGGCCGAACTCGGCACTGAATCCGGACTAACACGAATGAGCGTTACATGAGGGAGCATGACGAAGCAGTCGCATTCAGTATCGACGCTAACTACAGTGCGCTTTACCAATACGTTTCTGAAACACGGCTACATTCTATCACGGCCGAAGAGAATCTACATCCCTCATTGATTTACAAAATGAATTCAAAAGGCTATCACTTAACAAGCTTCAAACAATCACTGATGTTTTAATAAATTTCATTTCCAATAGAAAGGGCATATCAATATATTCATTAAATTGTCAAAGTTTACGGGCACATGCTTTGGATCTCGATGATACTGTTACACAATGTTCGACTATACTGATTTTATCTGAAACTTGGGTGGACAATTAAGAAAACGTCAATGTACCGAATTTTGATTGTGTTGTGAAATTCAAAAGACCTGATCGCCGATCTGCAGGTAGCTATATTCAAAAATAAGAGAGACACGTTGACTCTTGTTAGTTCGCTGATGGATGTCACACTTCAACATTCAGAAACATTTGGATTCAATATATCACCAATTGGCGAAATTTGTGAATCAAAATGTATAATAGAAAATAGACAAGAAATTGTAATGGTAGCTATTTATATTTCACCTAATCAAAGTGTAAAAGACATCATCAAATTCATCCATGCAAACTTAATTATCTACACCAAAGAAGGATCTGCTCTTCTCGAAGAACATTTCCATACATTACCAATGATTATGAGTGGAGATTTCAATGTTGACTTCTCCAAAGATACATCAAAGCCTCTAGTGGATTTTTTGAAAACAAAATTAGATCTAGATGTCCAATGATCCAAATGAAAGTAGAACGAAATATGGAACAACGATTGACGGAGTTTTTCTGAGATATTTAGGAAATTCATTTCAATCAAAAGTATTTGTCTCATATTTCAGTTACCATAAACCATTAGTTTCGTTTGTAGAGTCTGATACCAACGACAATCAGTCAGAGCACAATCAAATTCCTACACAATCATAATTGTATACATTTTCAACGTAATTACATTGTGATTATACAAAATAAAGAACAAAAATTGTATTTCGTTTTGTTAATTTACCCTAATTTAAGTTTTCACTTCCATCATGTGCTCTAGACCACACACCCAACTTTTAATTTAGTTCTATTAAATATGAATAATTTGTTCTATTAAATTATTTGAAAACCAGATATTTAAGCAGGAATTTAATTTGATCAGTCATATCCACACCAAGAGATAAATGCAGTGGTAGGGGCTTATGACACTTATTAATAATACGATAATTAGTATTTTTGTTTATTTCAAAAGTTAATAAAACGCTAATAAAATGGATCACTGTGCACTGCTGATGAATGATGATGGCAAAATGAAATATGTCTAACGGGCCAGATGTTGGGAGAGCATCAGACTACTGCCAAAGAAATCCTGAACATCTTGTTTTATTATTATTTTTAATCTCGCTTCTTTACTTAGTGCTCGCTTGCTGTGTGGCCAGAATGTATATCAATAATATAGCTTGACTGTCTCCCCCCTCTTTATGGAGTTTTGACATCTTCTGGTTGGTCTGTTTTAAATGGTTCATTGATGAGAAGTTAACAATAGGATAAAGCCGACAATATTTGGCAAATCACGACCACAAAGATTCCTTGAAGTGTAGAATAGCCAATTACCCACTCAATTTAAAAACTTCAATCAACTTTAATCCCCATATTTAAAGATCTTACCTCAAAAGGTGTTTTCTAGGTAGCGATACTGATACTGTGACAATAAAATTATATATCCAATATTTAAATGGAAGGGTTTATCCACCCTGCAAAGAAGCCGGCATTCAATTTGTCAGGATCGTCAAGAAGTGAGTCCATGAGACTATTTTAGTAGTATGCAGCCTGCAAATTACTCTTTGGCTGGGTTGATGTCTATATATAATTCAGTTTCCAATTTCACAATGCTTTTTTGTTGGGTTTCTAACATTGGATTTTGTCAAGTTTTATCTCAGACAATGGTCATAAAGAGGGTGGTTTTTTTCTATATAAAGTTAATTCAACCGATGTCTAGCATGTTAGCACATAGATACACTATTACCTTTTACCTTTAAATGTAAGTAATGTAATCTAAATAAATACATCACACTAATCACACGTAACATTACCCATGACACCTTTACTAACATTGATTAATCAGAGATTTAGATTGTTCAAAGGTGAGATGATGTATGTTTTTTTTCTGTCTTCTTCAGCATATTTTTGTGAAATTTAATTTACACCTTGTTTATTTCGTTTTTATAATTTGATCTTTTTTATTTTTCTGTTTCAGTCCTGATTTTAATTAGTTCGAAGAGAACTAATACTCGTTAAAAGAGATGTACAACATAATTTGTCGTTTTATAATAACAAAGTTTTTAATTGTATTTAAAAAAAAAAAAAACGTGTACACCAACTTTATTCATGTCAAACATTTTATCAATAAAATTTGTATATTTCTTTTGTGGTTTTACCTCTTGACAGTATTTTCAAACCAGACAAAATTTCCTTTCAAGCACCAAGATTTTTGAATTGCGTGGCTATAATTAGCAGTTTTGAATATTAATAGGCTATTAATACTCTATCCAAACATTTAAATTTTGCAGTTAATTTTTCCAGTTCAATAATCACTACCATTTGATTGACCTGAGTTAATCATCATTGATTATTGTGAATATTTCTTCTCTTTTTTTCCCAGGAAAAACAAAAACTAAATAACGAATTACTTTGATCCTGGATTTATGAGAACCATACGTATGTCTACCATGCTTTGTTAAGAACGGCATACTTCCCAATACAGTGGAAATATTATAATTAAAATGATCCTAACATTCAAGCTCCTACCGACTTGACTGCCTCCATGTCAGACAAAAACCATAAAAAGACATCTATCTGAAACTGTGAGTATTCTAATACACCACCAATTTGATTTCCACTCATTTCACTGTACGTTTATTGAACACTATATCATCCTCTCTTGAGCAGAAACAATATTGCATGGGTTTCTTTCTTGATTTCTGCTGAATCTGTTAGGGGACTGCTATTTCTTATCACATTAAAGTTGGTCTCTCCCAGAGCAACATCCAAGGGCTCTTCTTATTCGCAATTTACACAACCAATGTTTCTCTTCTCTTTAATAATATTATTTATTAACTCTTGCTGAAGCTATCCTTTAATATAATCCTAGCTAGTTATAACATCCAACTTCATTTAAACCTCTAGTCTTGGTCTAGTAAATTTTGTAGGGAAAAAATGGATTCATAAATAAATCCACCCATGTCACTATTATCCCTCTGTAAATCCACTTTATACAGTGCATTCACTACCTGATTTGACAAAAGACAATCCCCATACACGAGTGGAAAGAGGAAACTAACCGATACTATGTTATTACCCTAAGATTGAACAAACTCACCATTTAAAAGACACTCCTGAGTCTGATGTACATGACATGAGTTGAGGCTATGGGATAAATGAAAAAAATCTAATTCATGCTATAATGAATTTCATTTCAAAACATTCCCAAAAATGTAAATCTCCACCCTAATCCATTTGTCCAACCTTAGTGTCACTGGTGGGTGACTTCCCTTATGTAGCATGCTAGATTTTCAATGCATCCATTATATTAGATCGACAATGACCACTAGGTTCAGGCACAATAAAGAAATACACAACAAATTAGTCATCCTAGATTCATGGTGATTAACTAGTATAAATAGATCGGTAATAATCACTAATGTCAATTTCCTCTGGATTTTTTGAAAAGGTTTTCCCACTATGCAATAATAGGTAATAGGTACAATAAAGGAATATAAGGTTCCTAAACAACAAATTTAGATTGTCAATGATAATTAGTGTCATTATTTACTTTGGGAACTAAAGTTTTCATACTGCATTAAACGGTTCTGGAGCAATAAAGAAATACACATACTCCATCGCCCTACAGCCTTTATAAGACCTTGGCCTCTAATCATCCTGATAATGATGATTCTCCTCCACTCCAGTAGGGCATTCACATCTTTCAGCGCAGTGGCCGAGCCACAGTGGCATCATCCTAAATGTAACAATAATAGTAATACTAAATATGTAACAAAATTAGTCTTTAGATTTATGATGATTGATGAGTATGAACAGATTGGAAAAGACCGCGTGTCAATTTTTCCTCTGGGTACTACAAGTTTTCATACGATAATATGTTCAGATAGGGTGCAGAAATATAAGAATACTAAATAAAAACATATTCTCATATTGATTTATGAGTACGTTGGCAGTGATCACTAGTGTCAATGTTTCCTCTGGGTCTTAAAAGTTTTCACTTGTGCAGTAATAGTCCAGGTAAAATAAAGAAATACACATAACTAAATAACAAATCAGTCACATCCTAGATTTATGATGATTAATGATTATGAGGCGAACTTCAAGGTTTTCACACTGTGCAATTATAGGTTCAGGAACAAAAAGAAATATAACATTACTAAATAAAACGACTTCAGATGTGAAAAATTGCCATCTTATGTTTTTTAATAAAATCAATTGACCAGCCAACATTACAAATTTGAATTCAATTTCAGTTTGAAAACATTCTTTGAATCCTTGTTAGCAGTAATAAAAATAGAAGTATTTATTCATGGAATTATTAACAAGTTAATAAATTCCATCGATAAACATTTCAGACGTGATTCGTCATCTCCCTACCCCCATGATTATAATTTGTATTTTCAATTTTTTTTTTCGTTGTATAAACATTTATTTTCTATTTTTCACGATGGTTTTCATTTTAATCAAATTCCTTAATGAATAATTTTATAAGTATTCATGTTGTTAAGTCGGTGTTATAGAAAATACTTTTTTAATGGTGGATATTATTTAAAAAGAAATCAGGTATTATGTGGTAGGTGAATTTATTTAGATATTTACGTTTCAGGTTGTAAAGCCCATCTTCAGCATTCTAAGCCTAGAATATAAGATATAACAACAACCAATCAATACGGTTTATGTCAACATTGTAAGGTAACAACAAGAAGTGTGGAAAATGGAAAATCTCATATACACATAAAAATGACAGCCTTATTAAAAATAAGTTGGGACAAATTGTTGGCCCATGGAAGAGAGGAAAAAAGGAAAGGCCGAAAAAATTTAAATGACTGCAAGGCTGAAAGGACGCCTAAAAGCTATATAAATTTATTATATTTATTTATTTATAACTAAATAAATTTATAAGGTAAATTCAAATTTTCTTGCCTGCATTGAAAGAAAGAAGGGGGTTCAATATAACCTCTATATTTCATGTATAATAATTATTTATAATTATTTTATTTTATTTTTTATTTTAAAGGGGCATCTGACAGCTTGGTCATTTCAGCCCCGAGCGCATGCGATATATTACAACACACATTCAATAATAAATAAACAATTAATTACATTCACACCTATATACAACAAACAAATGGTATCAAAGAAAAAACATACAAAAGATGAAATGAATGAAAGTAACATGGGAGGTAGGTTGGTTATAATTGACCCGACTTCTACCCTGTCGGGCGAACCTCTACTTAATACAGTTAAGGAGATAATTAAACTGAAAAAATACAGGAATAAAAATAGAAGACATTAGAGCCACATGTAATGGTGGTGTAGCTATAAAACTGCAAAATGATGAAGATGGAAAGAAAACCATGGCCACTGCAGCCTTCAACCAAAAAGGACTAACACCACGAGGGCTTAAGCAAAAAAGCCAAAAATTATCATATTGCGAGTTCCGTGTTCTGTCGCTAAAGAAGAATTACTCCAACAGTTAATTGACAATAACCCGGAATTTGGTGAGGATTTCAATACTGAAAATGTTAAACCCCTTCATACAGTACCCTATGGTGAACCCCGTGAAGGAACAGACAAACAGGTATCTTGGGTTGTAGAAATGCTACCCAAGCAATGGGAAATGGCTGTGAAGGCAACCAAAATATTCCTAGACTACCAAGTTTGTCCAGCAAAAAAGTATGAAGAGACAACCCAATGTTTCAAATGCCAACGATATGGGCATACATCACGCCTATGTCAAGCAGATAAAGAAACATGTGCTGGGGAACACTCCACTAAAACGTGTACAAGTGAAAACCAAAAATGTGTAAACTGTGCTAGTGCGGGACTCGATAGCAAACATAGGTCTGACTCAAGAAAGTGCCATGTACACGCACGAGAAATACAGAAAATTAAGCACGCCACAGAATACGGCAAGTTGCGCTCAGCACAACCAACTAGGAGCGAGCGAGCCCTAACTATGCAAATCGAAACTGAAAGTGCCATAATTACAATACCCACACCACCCAACAGTGACGAATAAGTGTAAGTGTTAATCTAAGTATCAGTGAGTGATAAATTAGATTTAATTGTATATTGTATATATAGTATTAGCATATTGTAGTTTATTGTATATATATTATTAGTATGTACGAGGGGTGCCCACTCTCTTTCTCTCCTGGGCGGGGTTCATTGTACGGGGAGATTGGGCACCCCTCATTAGCACGTAAGATATTTGTATGGTGCGACCCTCACGTCATATCCCGACCAGGCACCTCCCCGTGGCCCATCCTGGGCACGGCTGCAGCCGTGGCTAACGCCTGGTGACGTGAGGGTTGGGCCTTCAGGGGTATATGGTTGCAAAACCATCCTGTGTAAGTCCGGAAACGGACATAGGAACAGGCAGCCTTAGACCTTTGAAGGCTATATACAATAAAAAATTCTGAATTCCTCCAAAAAGCAGAACAGGGGACCCTGAAACTCGCTACCGTGTCCGAGAACCATTCTTAAATCCGGCGGCATGCCTACACGCTCTCTGTATGGAGCCAAGGCATGGCACGCCTCTATTATGTGGGACACATCGAGCAACCTTTCTCTGCATAAGTATTTTATTATTATACAATAAAAGTTATTTTTGCTTTTATGATATTGATTTAAATTTATTTTATTACATTTTTTAAAATTTAGTGGGTGATTATCAGAAGCAGATGGCAGTTTAGTCAATTTGTGCCCGGAAATGTAATGAGAAGGTGCTTTATACATACTTTGCTGTGTCTTTTATTTGTTAAATTCACTTTTTTTGTTTAATTAAAATAATAATTTTGCTCATATGGTTCAGATTGATTGCAGACTCCTTCCATTTTTAATAATTTATATCAGCCAAACGTTTCAGATTTTTTGTTGTTGTTTCACATTGTTTCTTGTAGAAGATAAATCTAAGTTTGACAGTTTTATTTTCCGCTCTGACGACCCGAACCCTTTTCTTTTCTATTTTGTAAAATTTATCCCTCTGTTCCTCTCATTATTTCCGAGCCATTCAACGTATTCATACGGATTGATTATGCAATTCTGAACGAAATTGAAACACCACTCGCCAATGAAATCGCCGTCGTAGAGTCAATACTGCGTATAAATGCTTCTCAATCATGGCATACAAGCTGTCCTTTGTCATCTCTGACAGGCCGGCGACAAAATCCATTTCCGTACTTTACATCTACATTGTTGACCCCTACCAAAGAAAACAACGGTGGCAATTTTACTCTCAAGAAATCGCCCTAATAAAACAAAACAGATAAGGACGCCCAATACTTCGTTCGACAGGATGATAAATTAAGATAATAAAGAGAAAAATTTCGTAACAGTTGATTATCTTGCCCAGCCTCGATCTCTTGTATTCTCCCTAGATGAAAAAAAAAAAAAAATAAAATAAAAATGGACACAATTATACAACGAAACAGCTTGATTTATTAATTTATTAGTTTTGGTTTGGATAAATTTCACACCGGTTCAACATCAGTTCTCTGAAGGTGGCGAGAAGGCTATACGCTCTGATAGGCCAGATAACAAACGTTTACGTTCGTACTATTCCATTAAATTCTAGAAAAAAATGAGTGCTGGTGTTTTCAAGGTCCTGTCCTACGACCTACCCTCTTTAGTATTTTCTTAAGCGATAGTTGTAATCTAAAAATAAGATCTAACATTGCTTTATTTTCTGATGTTACAGTTTTTCTATCACTGGGCTACTCGGGGCATAGAGGTAACGAAAAGATTGACATGTTGACCAAATAGGGGGCCAACATGGACTCTCTAGGTCCTGAACCCTACTGTGGCTTAGCATCCTGCCACAAAGGACATGACTTCTCAAAATGAATCCTTAATGAGTCCAAAACCTAGTGGAACAATACCACAGGCATGAGGAACGCGAAGAGATTCATAGAAGGGCCATCCGCAAAACTTACAAAGGAATTAATTACTGGAAGGCACCCGCAACCGGACCAGGATTCTGGATGGACTCCTGACAGGACATTGCCACAGTACAGACCGAAGAACGCATTTTATGTTTCTGTGAAGGTCTGTGTAGGTATAGGTTCTTGCAATTAGAGTAGGAAAAAACAAAAGTAAGATCCTACACTAAGGAGCCGCTGGCAAAGCTATAAAGGTTGGTTAACAAACTGAATCGGGCCAGTGAGTTATAAAAAACAAGGGAGCACAATAAATCCACTCAGGTCGAGGTGCAGAAGGCCTTGTGGCCGCCTCTTTTATCTCTATCCCTATCCCTACAGTTTTTCTAAGCTTAATAAAAAGGAATTGACTAAACGGAAATCACACTGACACACTCTGAAGATGGCGGGAAGATAAAGTAGTGAGGATAGGCAGACCAAAACGATCGGAAAGTATACATCTTGATGTTGAAGTTATTGAAATTAATAAATATGGAATATTAATATTAAAACTTTGATTGAATCTATTCATAATTATATTGTATTTGTAGAAAATAAATCTTAAAAGTACGATTTTGTCAATTAGCAAACGAGTATGTGTCGTTTGCCCAAAAATTCCCGTTTGGCCGTCGTAACTTGAGTTCAATTTTGCCGAAATATTTTTCACCAGAGACATTTCCTTTCTTTGATTGCATCGACAATGACAATTTTTATCTTTTCAAGTCTTCGGTGCGAACTGGAAGGGTGAACATGGGGGGTGGCGGGTCCGTGGGGGGTGGTACCGCCGCTCTTCTGATTCCAGCCGGCGTCGTCCGTCAGTCTTCTATCAGTCGCCGAGCGGAACGGTACGACGACACATCGCGAAAAGGCAAACCAATTAACACTTCGTTCATTCGTGAACGCAAGAAAGAGAAAAGAGAGAAAAACAGTCCAGTTTCAAGACAACTAGGGCTATGGACATGTTGAAATTCGCAGTCGTAAGTTTATTGGTATTTTTCTTAAGTTTATACAAATTAAAAAAAGACAAACAAATTTTCTCATTTTAACACAAAAACGACAAACAGGGGGCTATTAACATTTTTTTCGGATAAATTAAATTATAACGCAATGATCAAAAGGTCAGTCAAACGGCGCCCGTTTCTGTTTAAATTTGAAAATATTTTTAGGCACCCTCGTCTGGCTTTAATAACTAAGCATTTTTAACTTAGTCTAGTAAGTTTTGACCGTTAAAGTTCAAATATCAATTACAATATATCTTCTTGTCTACGTTCTATGTTGGATATTGGACATATATTACACCGACCTTATGCCTGTCTGTCATAAAAACGTGTCAAACTAATAAAAAACATGTTGCAAATCGTTTAAAAAAAAGAAGAAAGTTCGTGGATTGTAAAGAAGTGTTGGTTGGGGGATTAAGTTGGGATTTGTTTCTTGGTAAACTAGACGACATTTTCTTAAGAGCAAATCATTAGCCTCTGTCTAACATCCGTTAACTTTTCATAAATATACCATACCTAATAAATATAAACACAAATTTATGAAAACTAAATATAAATGCTGTAAATTTTTGTTTTCAATGAATATATAAAGCAATTAAGGATGATCATATTTTCCCTTTAGACCAACTGTAAGAAAAAAATTTAAACAAGGTAACGCAGACAAGAAAATTAATTTTCCTAAAGCTCCCACTATTCACGTTGAGATAGTTGAAATAATCCCGGGATCGTGGGCCACGGCCAATCCAGGCCCCAAGTTATCTTTATTATTTATTGTCTTTTCTTTTTGTATTCCATTATCGAACCCTCGTGTAAGAAGACTCCCAGAAAACATGTTATAATCACTATTGTTTGGGAGATTATGCGATCATGTTTGTTAGAGATGAGAATTTTTTTATTTTTCTATTTGTACAGTTTGTTATTGTATATTGTTTAAACTCCTTTGAAGTTAGGGTTAATTGCTCTTTATGACTATGGAAAATGACGGTTTATATTCTAAAAGATTCCTGTGTTTTTATTAAATAAATAGAATTGTTTTTAATTAGAAGAAAAAATGTTTAGAACAAATTTACTGGCATTGTAGTGTATTAGTGTATAGTGTATGGATACAGTGGCAATGTTCATTTTATTATTTTTGTTATTACAGCGCTCTGAGGCGTAAAAAACTTGTCTGAACAGAGATTGCTGTAACATTCCAAGTTTTTAATTTCTAAATAGAAATGGAGTTTTAAGTCATTTTCACACCTAGTTGATTGAGTTCGATTGGACAGGGCTTGGTACAATTTTAAACGCAGCGATACACCGCTTAGGTAGAAACCCGTTTAAACTTGGCGAAATCCGAATGGCCCCTCAAATTATCATTTTTCTTGGAAAACGTTGAAAAGGTCCGGACGATTGAAAAATCGAAACAAAAACCGGAACGAAGTAGACGCCATTGGAATCGGAAGATGTAAGAAAAATCGACTAAATCATGGAAGTGTTTTCGCTTTACGCTGTTTTTCGAAAAACACTCCCGCCGGCGACATCTAAATCATCTCTGAAAGATAAATGACAGCCTGCGAATTTTATTATGAAGTCAGATGTCATTAGAGATGGCCCGGATTTTTTTAAAAAGTTTCTCTAGAGGACAAACGACCGAAAAACACCATCGAACTAGTGCGTTTCTCCAGGCTTAATTATGGAAAACTGCACACCCCACGGCGTAAGTACGATAGCTGCCATAATAGGATGCCGTTTAAGCCTCGAGATTGTTCTTGCACTCTCGCCTTTTTGTATGACCGCATCGCGTTCAGAGATTACAACGAATTAAAATAAACCGATTACTTATCTTTAAGGAACAGAGATCCAGCGTCAACAATCCGCCTCTAAAATTGCCACATTGCTTGTAACTGGCTAAAGTAGTTAATAAAATAATTTCGATTCTGGTCAAAGTATGTGATTTATGGTTACTGAATGTTACAATACGGTAAATCAAATATGGTAAATAAGTCAAGATAACTTAAAAATCTCAAACAAACCAAAAAGTGGCCGAAAATAAATTTGTGATACAAGACAGGTCACATAGTGATGTCCTTGTAAAAAAAGACATCAAGCCCAATTTGGTTTAGACAATTTATAATTCTAAAATTTCCAAGAAAAGAAAGCTAACGACAATGTATTGTCTTAAAAATTTGACATATTAAAGAAGCAAAAGTCCATTATTTGGAGCCTCAGATGCTTCATAGGCAAAGTAGAAGGATCGGGTTTGAACAATTAATTCCACGAGACATTCTATTATGACATCTTTACATTTGTGGCTAATACTGAGAGAAAAGTTCCGATACTTAAGATGCATTGCAATAGTTTCTATTTTTGCAGGCGTCCGGAAAAGATCTTTACGTTTTCAAGTTCGTAGGTCGTGTCATATGCAATTCTTGGTGAAGATGTCTTCTGGCCCTCTTACAACATTCAGCCTAGTTTGTAGTACCCCGGTAGCTACCGTAAGTAGTGCCTGCGGCTTACTCCATTAGTGAGTGGTGAGGTCTCGTTGATAAATCTGCTTTAAGCAGGTTGATCCCTGCTTATTTACAGCGGTGTGGCATGGAAGGGAAACAATTATAGATGAAGTAGTGGCGACACATATTTACCATTAGCGACTATGTTTATCCACATACAGTCACCATTGGGTTTCTTTTCGAAAACATATTTGATTCGACCTCGCCCTTCGGACGTATTGCCTGAACCGTTTGTGGAATCTGGGTGATTTTTGTGAAATCAAACTTATGTTATGAAGTGATGAGGGTGTGTCTGAGTAATCTTTGGTCTTAGTGTTTTATTGTTCCAGTCGGTCCTTAAACGTGTAACATTAACTCCTTTTAATGCTTGACATAAAATTATTAACTACTTTTTGCCAATGCTCTCCTTTAATCAAATTTTTGCAATTTAAGGAAGTAAAGTCTATTTATTAAAGTTTTAAATCAACTGATATTTCATAGGCGAAGTAGAAGATCGTAGTTGCCAGTCAACTGCGTTGTTCAAATCAGGTTTGATTTCACGAGCCTTTCACGTAAAATTATATCAAGAGGTTAGAGGATGAGTGCTGCAGAAAGGTGCAGAAGTAACTTCCAAAAATTATTGTCCCTGCAGACACCCGGAAAGGGCTGAACCTGAGTGCTGCAGTAGCTGCTGATCTTCACACAAGTTTCCTACACTGTAAACTGACACTGTAGTAATTTCTAAAAGCTGAAGAAGAACATTTGAAAACTATCGTCCCTTCAAGCTTTGATGTTGAACTTGCATAACTTCCAAATATCTGATGATAAAGTTATCTTATCTTAAAGAAGTAATCTTGATCTTTGTAAGTACTGTTGGGTCAGAGAGCTGAAGTGTGATGCAGGGTGCACCCCTAGTACAAGTAGGAAACCTGAAAATGGGTTATAAATAGCTCAACGTAATTCGAAACATGTTTAGTAAACAATTTTTGAATTGTGAGATTTAAATGTTATGTTATATCAGACGTCTCTTGATGACTGCTGCAGACCCTTTGACTAGTAAATATGAAGATTGATTGTACAATCTTTGCATTAATGAAAACTGGTACGTGAATGTGGAGACGCAGGAATGGATACTACGGTAGTCTAAGATCTGCAAAAATATCTCTAACTAATAATTCCCAAAAGCGTGTAAAAATATGTTTTATTACTGGAGCAGTTCCTTTGAACTGGCGTTTACTATAAAAAATAATCTACTTCAACAACTCTAACTACGTTAATCATGGTACATCCATGCATATTGTTACTTTGCTTTGAAAGCAGCTCTGACTGTTGATACTCGTTCAACCTTAAGTGAGGCGGTACAATAAACAATATGCGCTGCAGTAGCATTTTTTACGAATCATCATCTCAGCAAACGTGAGTGAAAACTATTAAGAAAAAACACACAAATTGGAATTGAAGTGCAATTTGAATATATTTCAAAAACCTTAACACTTGCAACAACGGGTTATAACTGGCCGACCAGCTCATCTTACGCCAACGCGAGAAAAGTCATGTACTTTACGTTGGGACATGATTGTCAGACGGTATCTTTAGAATTCCACTTAGCTTTGTTAGACAGGTACTGGCCACCATGAAAAGATAGTAGAAATGCCTTTTCAACTTGAAATGTAAGTCAACTCACTCCTTTGCGAAAACCCTCTAAATAGGTTTACTAGTTTGAGGATTTTTGAAGTTTATTCAACTCTTACTGCGTAATGTCTCAAACGTGGACTGGTGGAATCCAGCTTATTGATGCTATGGGAGCTGCTATGCCGTTGTTTCTCGTCCATTTCAAGAAAAGTTGCAGAATATTTAGAATAATCCTCAGGAGTATTATTAATTAGAAGGCGCAAAACGATGGAATTAATCCTAGAAGACGCAGTAGCATCACTTTTGAATCATCAGAGTCTTACGGGATGAAGTTAATGTAAAAAGTTCGCTACCAAAAGAAACAATAAGATTAGAATACAAGGCGATTTTGGTGGGAATTATAGGCATATTGTAAAACAAATCGACGTTTACGTAATAGAAAAGAAGTGGAAAACCATTCTTGCTCCCAGCTTACTTTTGATTTTCAAGACTTCAAGTATTGCTGGGTCAACTGAAGTGCAGGTATATGTGAAAAAATTTACATAAGTATGTGGAAAATTATATTTTATTGTGAACGCAATAAATGAGCTTATAAGAGCAGTAGACATCTCTGACGGTATATAACCCCTGTTGACGGAAGTTTTTCATTACGAAATTTCAGTTTTATACAATACTTATAGAAGTTTACGTTATGTCTTCTTAGTTGAGCAGTTAAGGGTCGTTTTGAGTTGAGCACTGTAGGCCGTTTCCTCCGAGTCAACAAACTGCTGTAGACTAGAATGTGGTAAACTATTTGTTTACAGTCGACTCACTTCTCTCGCGTCATCCGGAATAACCAGCAGACGCAACTCAAATAACGAGAGCTGAATTATTAAG